TGCTACGGTCACAGTGGAGTATATTGGTTAGACAAATGGGGAAGAGAGGAGTTGGTCACAGGGGTGTCCTGCCTTCCTGGTTTCTCCTGGATCCTGGTCTTGAAGTGACTCTGTCTACTTTTCTCTGACTCCCTGATCACTCTGGGCCTTGGGAGGGGATGGCTGTCCACGGAGCAGCAACTGGAGGTAGGTCCTGGGGCAGATTCTGGCTGAGTTATAGAGCAGGGAGGGATCAGGGTCAAGCAGAGGGGGCCCAAGGTAGCCACCGCATGCTGTATGTCCCCTTCTCCTGTTTCTCTCTATGGCTTTCTCATCTATTTTCGGAAAATCCAGTCCTGGGCTACAGGTCCCTGACCTCTTGTTTGGGCACTACTCCGTTCTGCTGGGGTTTCAGGCTGGATGGAGCTTGTCCTCCATTCCCTAAAGACACCCGTCCTGGCAGCCCTGTCCTGGCAGCCCTCTCCTGCTGGTCTCATCCCCTTGGCCCCCTCCCACCTCGCACAACTCGTAGGGCTTTCACTTGCCTGAGACGGTGGGACGGACGCTTGTCGGAGCAGCCCAGGCCAGCAGGAGGGCAGGATCCCCCAAGCTGGGGATGGGGGGCCGGGGACGATCGTGTGGGCGCCAGCGGTAGGGGGCGCAGGCCCAGGCTGCCGGGCCCCTAGAGGCCGCGGGCGGCGGGTTCCGGGCGCCCCTCTGCCGCGTCGCTGCGGCCGGCCGCTGGACCCCTCCGCGCCGGGCGCAGCGGCGTTCTCACGGAGTGTCTTCCCCTCTCTCGCTCAGCACCGCCCCCTCCCCTTCCCTCCTCTAGTTCGGCGGCATCTAGCACCTTGCCCTGAGCTCCCAGCACCCCTGCGGTCTCCAGGCCGGACTTTGGGGGACCTGGGTTGCAGACGTTCCCACTCTGGAGCGAGGGACGTAGGTGGCATCGTTCCGTCTGCAGCCCCTGACGGATTCCCCCACCTTCCCTGGAGGGGGCGGGGGTGGAGCTCTTGAGGGCAGGGAGACTTCTGGGGGAAGGGGCTTGATTTCAGCCACCCTTCCCCAATCACCGCCCACCAATCCCCCGCCTCCCAGAATGGGGTGTGGCCACGATCCCCTTCCAGGAGGCGACACTGTCTCCCAGTGGGTTCTGTAAGGACCTGTTGGGGGGTGAGGGGTGGGGAGGGAGGACTCGGTAGGAGACTGAGGCACTGATTTCTAGAACCTGGAGGTGTTCAGCCGGAAGAGCATCTCCTCCAGCCTCTGCCTTCATTCGTTTGCTTATCCATTCAAAAACACTTCCTGATGCGAACCCTGTGCTGGGCAACCTCCCTCCTGACCGTGGCCCTGCGAAGAGGGCCCTGCCTCCTCTTTTGGCTGCAGAGGAGGACAAGGAGGTGCAAGGCCCCGCAGCCTCTTGCCCCTCACCCCATGCCCAGGGGCTGTAGGGGATGCAGAAGCAGGATGTGTCACCCCTAGACTCCAGCCCCTGCCTGGTCAGTCCTTTCGATTGGCCAGCAGGGCTGTGACCTCTAAGGGGCTGCTGGGACCACTCACTCTCCACTTCGGTGTGTTCTCTGAGCCATGGTTGACTTTGCCTTCACCTGGCTAACTCCAGATGGACCTTCCCCATGCAGCTGGGACATCACTTCCCTCGGGAAGACTTCCTAAACTTCCCAAACCACAGCAGGTCAGATCCAGTGTCCAGATCTGCTTTCCCCACCTTTTTTCCTTGAGGACTGGCCTTCTGTCCACCTCATGGGGCCAGCCGGGCATAGCTGCAATTGAGGTCAGAACAGGGCTGCGGGACAGAACTGATTTCATTTATTGAACAGACTGCTGGGAGAGCTGGGTTCCATGAGCTGTCCCTGCCCATGCTCACTCTGTGAGGAAATACTGGAGGGTTCCAGAGCTGCTCAGAGGAAAGAGAGCACTTCCCTCCTAACATGACCTCCCACACGATCCTGCCCACTTGGCCCAAACTTACCATCCAAAGCTTGGGTGGGGAGGGGCATGAGCTCCGCATGGGCCACTCCTGTGACCAGGTTGAGGGGCGGGGGGATTGGGGTGGAGAGATGCTTGGGAGGATGGATCTGGACATTCAGTTAGACTGGGGGAAAGGAGATCTCAGGGGTCCGGTTTCAAGGGCCCCTGCCTAGTTCTTCCCAGGTGGACATAGCCCTTGCCTTTTATGCATTCATGTCTTAGGTTATTCTGCTCTGATCCCCTACACAGCTCTGTGTCGGGCTCTGACCGGCATCAAAGATACCAAAGCTTTGCCTTGGGGAGATCATGTTGGGGAAGGGTTTGGTGGTGGGTCAGGGGGTGCCACCCTCCTCCTCCCCACAGCTCAGGCTCCACTTCCCTCATTTCCACTCCTTCCAACCTTGGTCATTGTTCTGGGATGCTTCAGGTGAGGTTCAAAGATGGGCAGGAGGAAGGGTTTCTTTGCTGATCAAGGAGGGGCCCCCAGGCCTGGGTTATACTGATGATAATGCTGTTGAGGGAGCAGGCAGGGGGGAAGTGGAAAGGAGGGAAGTGCAGGGAGGGGGACTTCTCTGAGGCTGGAGGAACCACAGGCTCCATGATGGGCCAGCACTTATGAGTGGAGGCCTGTCACACCATGGCCAGCCGGTTGGTCCCCGTGCAGAGTCCAGCAGTGGGTAGAGGCTCGGGTGGGGAGAGAGAAGAATCCTGGATACAAGGCCTGGCGGTCCAACCTCTTACTGCAGGACTTGAGGCGTCCCTTTCTCTGGAGGGCCTCAGCTTTCCCATCTGTACAATGATGTGGTCTCTGCCACTTTTGGTTTGGTTTTGTGACATCTGCTGGGTACCCGTGGGCCTGCTCCTCTGGACGAGGCTCTCGAGAGGAGGACGAAGACAGGGACCACTCAGAGTGGTGAGGGTTGTGATGGACGGAAACCCCGGAGCTGGGCAAGCACGGAGAGGTCAGGGGAGGCTTCTGAGAGGAGGAGTTATCTGCATTGGTCCTGCAAGAATGAGACTCTTCCCAGCTTGTCCCCCTGCTCAGAAACCAGGACAGAGGCCGCGTGGAGCAAATGGCTCTGTGGAGGTCAGTCTGTGCTCCAACCCGAGGGTGTCAGGGAGCAAAGAGCCGTGAGAAGGCACAGCCACATCTGCAAGCGTCCATGCACACCTGGGTAGGTCCTCCTTGCCCCAAACCCGGTGGGTACGTTGGTCTTGACGTGGCTCTCCAGGGAAAGACTGGGGATTGTTTTTCCATTAAATTTAAGCCACTAACATTTTTTTAAAAAGAGTTTATTTATTTGACAAAGAGGGAGAGAGAGAGAGAGCACAAGCAGGGGGAGCTGCAGACAAAGAGACAAGTAGGCTCCCTGCTGATCAAGGAGCCTGATGTGGGACTCAGTCCCAGAACCCTGGGATCATGACCTGAGCTGAAGGCAGACACTTAACTGAGCAACCCAGACCCGGGAGGTGGGGACTTTTGATAAGCAGAGAAAAATGGGAGGCCTCCAGAACACAAGACAAAGCTTGGAGGCTGGAATGTTTGAGATTGTTCAGGAGCTGTGAGAGGGTGGGGGACAAGCGAGAAGGCTGGAGGTCTTGTCTGGAGTTAGATCACCAAAAGCGTTGAAGGATGGAGTCACATACAAGAGTGTCAGGTCAGGACTCAGCCCAGGAGCCACTGCCTCCTGGAAGCCTCTAGGTTGGTGCCTCACTGGGACTCTGTGTCATGGCGGTGACCATTTTGTTTGTCTGGGCCATGCTCCTGTCTGCTTTGCTGCTGCCAAGAGCCTGTCCCTGAGGAGTTGCCCAGAGTTTTTGAGAACCTGAAAGAATCTGGTCCAGACCCTCTATCTAGCCAGTGAGCTCTATAGGCCCAGGGCCAGGCCTTAAGGGCTGAGGGATCCCATCTGTGGTTGCTGTGGGTCTGTGATTCATTTCTGTGGCCAGCCTAGAGCAAGGGACTGAGGGATCTCTGGCCCCAAATTCCAGAGAAACTAGTCAGTAGATCACAAAAGGGGAGGTTGCTGAGCTGCAGTCCAAAGAGAAAATCCAGGGCAAAAGCCTGACCCAAGGGCCCTCTGTAGAACGTTCAGCGGTGCCTCGATTCAGGCCCTGCTGGCGGGCTGCGTGGAATCCATCTGCAAGAGCTTTGCCCAGGCGAATGTGGGGCTGGTGTCTCCAGGGTCCAGTTTACTTCTGGTTTGGACCCAGGAGGGCTGTGAGAGCCAGGTAGCTGGCAGGCAGGCACGGAGGAAGGGAGGGAGGGAGGGAGGGCAGGGTGTAGACCCTCAGCCCCTGCCTCAGCCCTCCCCAGTCCCCCGCCCCCCTGGCTTCAGCTTTTCCAGTGTTCTGCTCACCGTGGACAGGCTGCTGCGGGCTCCTGGGGGACAGACCAGGACAGGGCTGCCTGAGTAGACTGACTCTGGGGCAGAGCAACCCAGAGGGACCACTGGGGAGAGAGGGGAGTCCCAGGGGACAGTTTCAGCTGAACTTAAAGAGGCAGAGATGATCAGAATGGCCCTTCAAGAGGACAGCAGCATGGTGGGGGGTGGTTAGAGAGAGAACTCTGGGGCCGAGTACCTGGTTTCAGGTCTGGCCCAACCACTTCCTGGTTGCCTTACTTAATCTCCCTATGCCTCAGTTGGTCCACATATAAAGCGTTTGGAGCAGGGTCTGGAAGGGGACCTTATGCTGGCATTAGGCGTCCTACCACTGGTGGGTGGCCGCTATAGGCTGGTGCCATCTTTGAGAAACTCCTGCCCTAGAATTTTCTGGTGTGTGGAGATGGGAGAGGAGGAAGATGTTTCATTTCAGGTACCAGCTCTGAGAGTTGGATTCCATCATTGGAGAAGAGAGTGAAAACATGAACTGGGACATGGGACCTAGAGAGGCTCCCAGTGTCCATGTTGGGCATGATGGAGAAGGCCTGAGGTCAAACAAGAGGAGCCCAGCTCAGCCTGGAGCAAGAAGGGTTTTGACCAAACACGGGAGAACTGCCCGATCTGCTGGCTCCCGGTAACTGGGGACATCTCTACTGTGTGTCTCTCAAGGCTTTTTCCAGGGTCCCACAGAGCTGCTCAGCCAGAGAGCAAAGACGGAAGATGGACTCTGGAATTTTTAACTTACCCTCTTTATTGCCATTGGCACTGGATCTTCCCTCGCCATGGTCTGGCCCTGGGTGGGGGTGGATTCTCAGGCTCCCTGTGGAATAAGACCGCCCCAAGGACCCTGGTTACTAAGCCATTGTCAGATCAAGTCCTGCTTTGGGAAGGGAAGTCCTTCCTGCTGTCTCATTTCCATCCCTGCTGCTGTTTCTGCTCTGCCACATTCCTGGAGGTCTCCCACATGATCTGGGCTGATTTAGGAGTGGAGTTCGAAGAAATGGGTCCTTGAAGGGAAAGATGGCAGACTTTTTAAGGAGGTGTGCATCATGGGGAGAACTAGAACTATGTAAATCCCCCAGGACTGATGGAGATGGTAACATCTGTGTGGGGGGCAGAGATGAGTTAAGGAGCTATATAGGGTCCTGAGGTCTTAGAGGTGGTAGAGGGTGTTTATGGGGCTCAAGGTATGAAATGGGCTTATCTGGAGACCTTGGAGGCTCTGGGGGAGTTAGAAACTCTCTAGAGGGGAGACAGGAGTTCTGGGTGCTCTGAGCTGGTTGAGGCGTATTTGCAGCAACAGGCTGGAGTCTGTTGCATGGTAGTCATGGCAACGCCAACACACCCACACCACGCATGCGCGCAGGTGCCCACACCCAGGAGCAGTCACACACAGGGGCTGGGCTCCACCCCAGAGTGGGCCACGGACTTATACACAGTGGGTCTCATCAGTGGTCCTCGGAAGCGGGCTCTGCTGCGGGCTGGTAGAGGACTTACCTATGGTAGGCAGAATGTGGTCCAGGCTGAACCGAGCCTTGAGGAATGGGTAGGCCAAGATGAGAAGCCCTGAGAAGAGAGACACAGAGGGGTTCTGTGATGGGCAAGGGGCCTGCTTAGTGCAGGCTGCGTGAAGCTGTGGGCAGGCTGTGCACCTGGGAGTGCTTTCTTGAGGGGATACAGGTGTGCATGGGAGGAGCATGGGGGTGCAGGTTGGGACTGTGGGTGCATCAATGTGAGCGTGTGAGTACTGGAAGGGGGCGGGTCCCCAACACCCAGCCCTAGAAGGGGGGCAGGGAGTGGTGCCTATCTGGGGAAGGGGCTCCAGGCTGTGAAGACCCACGCTCCTGGCTCCAGCCCGCCCCAGTGATTAGCATGGTTTGCTTCTGTCCTTCTCAGTGGGCTGGAAATGGGTCCAGAGGACATCCCCTCCACCAACTGCCTTTGCCCCACCTTCGCCTAAGGCAGGGCTGGGAGCTCCTGAGCAGGCTCCTTCCCACCCAGACCTGGGGAGGGCTTAGCAGAACAGTGGACTGCGCCTGGCCCAACCCCATTCCATCCCCAGACCAAGTGTCTGTGGCCTTGGAAAGAGTTTGCAGGTACAGATGCCAAGAACCAACCAGTGTGCTGCTTCTGGCTCTGCTTTTACCCCAGGGGAGTGGGGAAAGGGATGGTACTCAACATCATTATGGGGATAGCAGTGGGACTGGCCCAGACAGACAGATGGACTGATGCCTGGATAGACAGACAGATGCCCTGCCAAGGTATACCAGGAAAGAAAAGGTAACCCTTTGAACTGGATCCTACCTTGGGTCAGAGAGTGTCCCACTGGGACCTCTGTCCTCTTTTAACTGCCCTGCTGTCAACCCACCCCCAGCTGGTTGATGAATTCCACAAAACCCCAATAGTCCAGGGCTTGGAACTAAAGGGCCAGAGGAGGAGCAGCCGAAGAGACCTGTGGCAACCCTTCTCCACAGTGTCCTTATTCCCGGCAGAAGGAATGTCACCGCAAGCCTCCTCTGCTTCCCCGTACCCCAGCAGCTGCCTTGCTCACACCTCTAGCCTCCATCCTCCCCAGACAATTCCTGCTGAACCAGCCCTTCCTTCCATTTCTCGTTCACCTGACTGCACCCCTGCTCACCTCCCCATGCCCAGCACCTGCTCACCCAGACTGGCGGCACCAATAAAGAAGCCACCCACGGCAGCTGCAGCTTTGGACACAGACACGCCGATGATGATGCTGCCGGCCACCAGGCCGAGGCCCACGCAGGCCAGCTGTAGGCAGCGGAAGTCTCTGCTGCTGATGGGGATGTCCATGCAGGTCTACTCAGGTACTGTCTGTAGCCAGTGGAGCCTGTCCCCAGGAAAGCCCTGGAAGTCTTGGTCCTCTTGGATGTGTCTTTGTGGGTGCTCCCCCTTCAGAGTGGGAATTGGGCAGGAGGATTCAGCCCTGGTAACCCTATCTCACAGCTCTCCTGGGGGCCCCCAGCTGCACCTTGACCTAGGATCCCTGCCAGGTCACACCAGCCTACTCCTCCTACCGTGAAGGCCCCTGAATCTGGAGGCCACTCTTGAGACTCTGGCCTGATCACCTCCTGCCTTGACTGTCAATGTCCTGGAGAGCCAGGCCTGGCCCACCAGGTCCCCCCTGTTACCTTCCTATTAGGAGAGCTTTGCCTGAGCTCCCCTGCCCAGGACATCGGGCCCTGGCCTCCTGGAGCTGGCTCCGCTGCCACTGGGCCTTGGCCTATGAAAGTTTAAAGCAGTGGAGGCGGTCAGCGCAGGGGACACGGGTTCCTCGGAGACGCAGGCCGCTGGGCGGCCCTGCGTTATTCATGAGGTTGCAATGTGAGCTGCCGCGGGCCCCAGAGGCCCACTGGGGCCCTCAGCCCAGCTTCTGCTGCTGCTTCCTGAGGGGGCAGGATAGACTGGTGGCTTCACGTGGAGCTTAGCAGCCAGGGATGTGAGGAGACTCCCTGGCTACATGCTCAGGGCACCCTCTGCGCCCATCTGCCGTTTGGCACATGGGGCTTCTACTCAGGGACTCAGTGGCAGGCATGGGAGGGGACCTGGAGGAGGCTCAAGAGACAGGAATGGTGACTGGCACGGGAGGAGAGAAAGAGGTATTCCTCTGAGTTCCTGCTCTCCCCTCCCCCCTCCCCCAGCCTGTCAACCTCTGGTCTCTTAGGGGGAGCAGGGTTGAGCGGTCCTGGTTTGAGGCTGATCTCGGGGGACCTCCTTCTCCTCACGTAGGCTTGGTATCTACCCCCTTAATTGCCAGTAGGCCGGGAGAGTGAGCCCTCTCAGCCCTCCTGGGATCCTTGGTGGGAGGCTGAGAAGGAAAAACAGGGAGCAGAGTGGTGTGGGGAATGGGGTAGGAGGAAAACAAATATGGGAAGAAGGATTGGCAGGGACTGGGTGCCAGTGGCCAGGGTCAGCTAACTGGGACAGGGCTAGTACCTCCTGACTTCCTCTGCCCAGCCTGTCTGACCTACTTGCAGGACCCCCCAGGTCAAGGGTAGGCAGTGGTAGCCCAGCCCTGCCCTTTCCCACCCCCAGACCCAGCTCTTCTAGGGCCCTTAATGCATCAGGGCCTCCCTGATCCCCAAATCTGGACCTGGTCCTATGCCTGCACCTAGGCACCTGGGCACTATTCCCAGGGTCCCATCACTAGCTCCACTGGCCTCTCTTTGCATGCCTCTGTCTCCCCACAATGTCTGCCACCCAATAGAGCCAGGTCACAGTCCTCCGCCTCCACAGTGACCCCCTGCCCCTCGTTTCCTCCCCTTTTCTGCTGCTGCCCTTCTGCTGAGTGTCTGCTTAGCCCCCGCTGTCTGGGGAATGCCTCCTTGTCCTGCAGGACCCTACTCGGACAGCCCCAGCTCTGTAAAGGGATTCCTGATGGTGCCTGAGTGGTTGGGCTGCCTACCGCTGCTCCCATGTCCCCATCACCTGCCCTTGTTCTCTGTTTCCTCTGTAGATCACCAGCCCCACAAGGGCTGGTTCAGGGAGTGAGCTTCTCTGTGTTCTGCCTGAACATAAGGCAGAGCTCAGGGAGTGCCTGGACTGCATGACCAGCTCAGGTCACCACAGAGGAGGGCCGTGGGCACCGTGGGACCTCCATCTCTAACAAGGGGCATTCTTTGGGTGGGGGTGGGGAACTGAGAAGGCCAAGGTCACCAGACTGAGCTTTAGTGAAGGGAAGGCACCACAAGGAGGCTGGAGAGGGGCCTGGGCAAAGATGTGTGAAGTCAAAGGTATGTGGAGAGGAGGGGTGACTGCAGAGCACCAGTGGGCCCCACTGGCTGTGTTCCTGGCCCCCATAAGAAGAAGCCCCTGGAGGTGGGCATTCCCCAGCTCCAGGGGCTGCTGCCAACGTCCCCTGTGCCTCTCTCCGGGATGAGATCTGATTATTCCTCTAATTAGGTATCAAATGACAGCCCATGTCTCTGTCACACATAACTGCTCTCCCACTGACTAGTTTTAGAAGGAGCTGTCAAAATAATTGTCTAGGAAAATGGGTTCCTGAGATGTTGAGCTTTGGGAATCTCAACCCCCTCACCCCCATTAAGTGTTTGCATAACTCTGGCTGGGCGGGGTGTGAGGCTGAAGGTGGCCCCCACACTGTCAGCAGGACAGGGCGCCTCACACTGTGGGACTTGGGCCAGCCACTCACCTTCTGAACCGCACTTTGCCCATCTGGTGGAGGGGGATGGAGATAACAGAGGCTGGAGTCAGGGAGGCCTGTGCATTGTGAGCTCCAGATCCCAGAAGAGCACTCTAACCTCTAAAAACAAGACGAAGTTCTAAATTAGAGGGTTTTCTTTTTTGTTTTGTTTTTTGACATTGTAAATCCCTCAGGGCCCACAGTCAGAGGAGGAAATATGGAGGAGAGACACAGTAAACCATGATCAGTTACAAGATCACAAAAGGAAAAACCCATCCAAGTTCCTTTAGAGAACAGATGGGGAAACTGAGACGTGGGGAGTGGTAGGATGGCCCCAGAGTTCTTGCTAGAACCTCAGTGTTCAGATTCCATGCTCAGCTGGGAAGTCCTCTAGCATTTCTCTGTCCCTGGATTTCTGACTTGTCCTATTTGAGGTGGGAGAAATTGGCGACCCCACCGTCAGAGGGAGACATTGTGTTCAGTCAAGGCCTTCACATCTTTTCCCATGACAGGGGAGTGTCATTAAAGGCTGCTTGAAACCTTTATGATGCTTGCTGTCCTGTTGACTGGAATGTAGAGAAGGAGGCTTGGTTATTCTTTCCTTGATACAGGCTATTTCATCTGTGAAAAAGAAAATACAAGTTTGTCCTTGGATGATGTGCTTCCTATAATAGGTAAGAAGATGGAAGCCCGAGTTACTAGAGGCCGATCGCCCTACCTGTTCCCCACCTCACAAGCCTTGGGGCCCTCCTTGCTGAAGCCTGGGTCCCCTAGGCCTCTGGACTCGGGGTGGTGGGTGGGCAGCAGGTGGGCCACGGGTCAAATCTGAGTTCTGCCTCAAAATCTGTTTCCCGGAGAGGCCGGGGCTGGAGTGCCTGCCTATGCTCTTTCCTTCCCAGAAGTGCTGAGTCCGAGGCTGGCATGGGGTGGGAAGGAAGACTGGGCAAAAAGGCCTCAGCGTGGTTTAGTTCTGTTTATTTTCCTTGCGGGGTGAGGACCCTGGAAAAGAGCGTGATTAATGCACCGGTCCCCTGGGGGACGGGCAGCTTTCCCAGACTGTTCAGAAGCTGAACTCGGGGAAGTGGCTTCCAAGGCAACCGCTACCATGGCAACAAGAGTGCCAGTTGAGGGGGGCCCTGGCTCCTCGTCCCCTCCAGACCTAAGCGGCTGGAGTAGCTGGCACGGAACCAGGGCCCTGCTGTTTAGGAGCGGGGTCTGGTGAGAGGCATTCAGCCAGGAGGGAGAAGGGGCCCCCAAGAGCTCAGGCAGGTAGACATCTGGAGGGAGAAAGACTTGGCGCCTGTGCCCAGGCCCCCAGACAGGGGTCAGACAGGAGTCCTGCTAACTGGATTTGAGGCAGGAGGCCCGAGATCTAGGATGTGCCGGCTGGCTGAGACCAGCCCACACCTGAGCCCTAGAGCCAGGGGACTGGCCACCACAGTTCCAGGCCCCAGAGCCTCCCTCCCTCAGTGTGTCTGCCAGACCTCCCCCTGTCTAGCAGAGCCAGGCCCATGGCCTCAAAAAGGGCCGGGGACTTCCCAAGATCACCCAGTGAAGAGTGGCAGAGGGACTAGAACCCAGGACCCCTGATCCCTAAACGCAGACTCTGCCCCTGGCACTATGGCTGCCTCTTGGGGACAGAGACCCCTGCCCAGAGGGGCAGAGCAACCAGGCAGCAGCAGAACCCCACAAAGGGCTGGAGGCCAGGCCCATCTGGAAAGTCTAGACCTATCTCCACCCACACAAGTGAAGGAAAGGGGGGGAAACTTGTCTCTCTCACTGGCTCCGGGTAGAGGGATTGCGCCCTGAGGAGACAGGAGTAAGAAGGACCAGCCATAGCCAACCCTCGATGGCGCACTGGCTGTGTGTGCCTGGAATTGCTCTAACCTCTCCCCGTTTATTAATCCGTAATTTCACAACAGGACCATAAAGTAAGCACTAGTATTCCCGATTTTGGGTTGAAGAAACTGCCACTCTCAGACACTGACTAACTTGCCCAGGGCTCAAAGCTAGTTACGTGGCAGAGCTGGGATCTGAAGCCGGGCTGCCTAGCTCTGGGTCCCGAGTGTCTCTGGGAAGAATCCCAGTTCTGTCTTCCTACCTGTACATCAGGGTTTTTCTCTCTTTTCTCTGCTCAGTTCTTCTAAGTGGGGTGACTTACCTCCCGGGATGGCTACAGAAACTAAGCAAGATAACGCCTGGACATTTCTCTGCCAGCAGCTGTTGCTTAGTGCACGACGATGCTAACAAACCCAGAGGAGACACTGGAGCACTAAGGCAGAGCCATGAAAGATGACAGGGGCCTTGCCAGGTGGACCGGGGTGGAGAGGTGGGCTGGTAGAGGTGGGCTGCCTGAGCAAAGGCACAGAGGCCTGAGAGCCAGCTGGAGCTGCACCCAGAACTGGGTGGGGACACTTGGCCCAGGAAGACCCTGGAAATCACCTTTCAGCTGGCCAACCCGGAGGACTAAACTCATACCCTGGTTCCAAGTCCCCAGGGACTGGGAGGCTTTGGGCCAAAAGGCTTAGAATCTGCAGGCCTGTTTTAGCCCATTCCCCTCCAGGGAGAACAAGGGGTGTGAGGCCGAATGCAGGGATGAGTTGGGTCAGGTGGAAACATCCAATCAGTGGGGCACGCATACTGTCTCCCTAGCCACCAGGGAGTGTGGACCCCGCCTTTTGGGTAACTTTTGGGCGCCAATTTTGACCAAGGTGATAGGCTAGTTCAAATAGCTACTATGGGGTGAATTGTAATTCAATTGGCCACCTGCGTGTGACCTAGCATGACTGTGCAGCTTTCTCGGTGTGTTACAATCTCATTGGCCACCTGTGTGTGGCCAGGCCCAACCACATGGCCTTTGCTCTATAAAAGTCAGTCTGTAAGGCAGGGAGGGGTCGCCCTCTCTGTAAGAGGCGGCCCTGAACGGTTGGTTTGATTCTCGATGCTTGGCTCTAAATAAAGCTTTGCTTGACCTTCGCTTTGTATCAGTCTCTCTCCTTTGATCACGGACCTATCACTGGGGGACCTATCAGTTGCTGCAAAGGGAAGACTGTCAACAGAAAGGATGTCAGCGTCAACACAGAGGCTTTGATGCCTCAGGATGGCTCCTAGAGTGAGGAGCCCCTGACCCCACCTCCCTTCTCCCCAGAGAAGCTGCCAGCAGCACCTCTTCCACTGCCTTGGTCCTCAGACCTCCCTCCTGCTCCTCCTTGGGAACTTCCCCCGTCCCACCCCAGCCCTCACCAGTGTAGTTCTGAGGGTGACACGGGACAAAGCACAGGGAAGCCCTTTGCACGATGAACATGACAGCTGTGGCTGTGAGGCACCATTTTTCTTTGTTCCGACTCTGGTAAGTCCTGGGCACACAACGGATCCTCAAGAAAGGCTTAGTGCTGCTCTGGACAGAGTGGACCTTCGTTCCTGCTTGGGCGCGTGGCTGGCCTGGGCACAGGACACACCTACTAAGGCATTTTTTTGAAGCCGGTTTGTGTGATGGTTGCTGATGTCAGTCTTGAACCTGATGGGGAGACCCTACAGGACAGAGGCTGTTTCTCACTCATCTCTGGGTCCTGCCATGGAATAGGAGACTGGCAAATGTTGATGAACTTCATTCCCTCCCCTAAAAAAGAAAAGCAATGATCTCTCCTTCACCTTGTTTTGATCCAACGAGGGGCTAGATTTAGATGGTCCCGATGAGGGGCACCTTCTCCCCACGGGGCTACACTTGGCCCCTCTCCAGAAGGCCATCTCTCTCTCAGGTTTACAGGGGAAGAAAGGACCACCAGAAAGGCCACAGCTAGAATTTAAAACAGTTTTATTAAAACAAGCACATCGTGTAATAGCACTGTCGTGTTGTGTAAGTGTCCGTCTGACTTGTACAGACCCATGTTCTCTAGGCAGCTGGGCACTCAGCTTCCTGGAGGCCAGATGCGCCTTCAGGCTCTCTGGCTCCAGGCAGCTCTTGGCTCGGACCCAGGGCTGCCCGCGGTCTGGGCCCCCATCAGGCACGGAGCCCCTTCTAATTGCCCTGGACTGGTGCTGCCCTCCAGCAGACACAGCCTCTGAGTCACTAGTCACCTTAACAGCTTAAAACCAGTTAGAATAATAGGAAACAATGGAATAAAACCTTTCACATGCATGGTCATTCAAGGAAGAGCAAGCCATGACATGTTCTGGAAAATCCACCAGCTTGCAGTGGGAGTGTGAAGTCCCATAGTTGCTGGAAGTGCATGGTTAAAAAAACAAACATTTTTTTTTTTTTTTTAAAACGAATTAATACGGACTTCAGCAGCAATCCCAACAAGGAAGAGGATGATGAATGAGGGGACACTTTTCGGTCCCGGCAAAGATTCCGCGCTTCTCCTGCGCTGCAGACTGGAAGACTGATCTGGCCTTCTGAATGCAGAAGGCTCCCTGCCCTTTCCGGAATTGAGTGGATGGCTTTGCTCAGCCCAGGGGAGGACATCCGGAGGACAGAGGAAGGGGTGGGGTGTGGGGGGGTGACAGTGCAGAGAGAGGAACGAGCCTCTGTCAACCTCCACTTTTCAAAGGCTGGCTCCCCGAGGGCCACAGCCCCAGCCGCTGCCGCCACTGGCCGCGGCCCGGGAGAGCAGGCAGGATCCTGGATCTGCAGGCGGGTGAGCAGGTGGGCAGGAGCCCAGCGGAGAGATGTCCCTGCCGCGGGCGATTATGCAAAGTGACAAGTGATTGCTTTCCTTTTCAAAGACAACCCCTTTGGATGGAGCTTTTTCCTTGAGGACTCTGGGGAGACAGGGGGGGTTGGGTGGGAACCTCAGGGCCTTTGACAGGATGGAGCCACACAGCAGCTTCCTCGGCTTACTCTGCAGACTCTGGTCACTCCCGGGCAGGCCGTGGTTGGGGAAGCCGTGGCTGGGGCGGGTCAGAGTGAGGCTGGAGTTGGGCACGGGTCTGGGTCACCACTGCGGCCTGCCTGGGCCAAGGCCCTCCGGCGGGCCAGGCGTGACTTGCAGGGGGGGGAAAGCCTCACAGAGCAGAGGCCCTCAACCAAGGACTCAGACTCCTCTGCCAGCTCGTCTTCTTCACGCTGAGAAAGCTGGCGGTTGAGGGCGATGGCCTCGGCCGCGAAGAGTGTCAGGTCCATCGTGCTGCTATTTCTACAGGGGCGGGTAGCACAGAGCAGAGGGAAGCGGGGCTCAGCACCCTGGCTTGGCCAGCCCTCTCCTGGACCCTGGAGGCTTTTTCTGGGCTGCTCCCGCAGGGAAGTCGTTCTTGCCCAGGTTTGGAATCTGATTTCACTGAGGCTGGAATGGCTTTTAGCCTCATCTACAGTCCTTGGACTTAGGAGTTGGGACAAATGCCCCCTTCTATTCAGAGCACCCCCTCCGCACTCCCATGCTCTGCACCCAGCTCTCCCAAAGGGCCGGGCACATGAAGCGCCCACCCATGTACCCCCCTTTCCCATCAGGGCAGGGAGCTCCAGGAGCAAGGGCTGTGCCTTTGTGTTTGTATCCCTGGGGCCCAGCCCAGGGCAAGCATACAGCAGGCACTGCGGTCTGCCAAAAACATCTCATAAGGTGGATCTAGAGTCAGGTAGGGCTGCCCTGGGCAGCAGCACTCCGGCTCACCCCAGTGGCGACTACAGATATGTAAGACTTCCCAGCACCCCGTCATGAGGTGGCCCCCTGGCAGGGTTCCCACTGTGTGGTACCTCAGTCCTCTGGGAATAGGGCAGTGCTACCAGGAGTATGGTCTAGTGTTAAAAGGCACTAGAGTCAAACAGATACAGGTTCAAAGTCCAACTCCCGAAGGCAACTGTGCAGCCCTGAGGGAGAAACTTCAATCTCTCTATTCTTGGGTTTTCTCGTCCATAAAATGGGGTAATAGGAACACCTCTCTTTTAAATTGATCATAAAGAGTATGAATAGAAGCTCTGTAAAGCCCTTAGCACTGGATCTGGCACGTAGTATGCATTTACTATAGAGGAGCCATTACTATTACTGTCTAGGGGTGACGGGACAATTGGTCCAGCTGCCTCACAGCGACCCCTCCTGCCACGGACACCAACCCGCAGCAGCAGGAAGGAACCTTGGGGTGAATAACCTACAGATAAGGTCTTTGGGCTATAAATGGTGATTTCTAGTTAGATGCAAGCGGATATGGAAACAGTTTTCTTCTCCTGCAAACAGCACCTGAGGGGCCTTGAAGGAGCGGGAGGGGAGAGGAGGGGCCTCGCTAAGAAGGTAGGCTGGGGAGCCCTTTCAGGAGGACGACACCTGAGCCTAGAGTTAGGTTCCCTGTCCCCACCTCCACCCCAGTGTGGCTGAGAGTTTGAGGGAAAGTCAAAGCCAAAGAAAGAAGGGCATCAGGTGTGGTTGGAGCATTTACCTCTGGAGGACTTGCGGCGTGGGGAGTCCCCTTTCTGGAGCTTGCTAGAATGGGAAGGACAGATGTGGTGGTAAGCAATGCTCCCTTCTTTAGGAGCTGCCTGACCCACACCAGTGCAGAGTGGGTAGGCTACTAGAGATTCCTGGCCGAGCACAGACACTTGGCCAAGCTTGCCTGCAGGGTCAGACCCTCCAAGGAGAGAGCAAGAAAGGACAGTTTGAGCCCAGCTGACTCTGCCAGGAGACTCACTCCCTTTGCCTGGCAAAGTCTTCTTTATCCTTGAGACCCAGCTCGAGGGTCACTTCTGAGAAGCATTCATTCTCCCACCCCTGCCACCTCCCTACCCCTGTCCAAGCAGAGGTGGAATCTCATCCTTTTGTGCCCCCAGCACTTTTGATAATCTTTTGTTACACTATCCCATAATTTACTGCCTTGTCTCCCTCTCCCCATTAGAGTAAGAAGACAGGGATTGGGTCTTAATCATCCCAGTATTGCCAGAGTCTGGCATGGGGTAGGTGCTCAGTAAAGTTAGCAGCTCTTGGGTGGCTAGCAATCAGCCACTCAGAGGTTTCTAGATTGGGTCTCCCACTGTAACATGGGGCTGGCAATGTTTGCTTCCTTCCACTGAAAGGGCCACTGAGGCTGGCTAGGGCCTGGCAGACCAATGACACAGGCCCCAAATGCCAATACCAGGCTGCTTCCAAGCCTGTGTGCCTCTGCCAATGGTAGGATGCATGTGCCAAATCCCCCAGAGGCCTCTGTTCATTCCTGAGCAGCATGGGTCAGTTAGAAGCCTAGTCCTAAGACAAGGTTAACGCCAAGTCTCTGACCCATAAGGGGATCCTTCAGGGGCTACGTCAATGGCCAGTTCACTCTACATGGGCAGGAACTGAAGCTGGTCTCCCTCCAGCTGAGGTCAGCCCCCTGGGCTGCTGTCTAGTACTTGCTACTCTAAAAGCTTCCTCCCCGCCACGCTACAGGCCTGGGGAGGTGGACTGCCGCCCCTCCCCGGGTTACTCACCCCCTGCACCCAAGGGTGCTGCAGAACTTGGGCAGCACTCAGTCTCTGCTTTGCATCTCGAACCAGGAGCTTAGAGATGAGGTCTTTGGCCTCGCTGGAGATGTGTGCCCAGTCCTTGTCAGGAAACTCATACTTGCCTTCCTGGATGCTCTCAAACAGCTTGTTCTAGGTAAAGAAGATTCCTCCTGAAGCCACACTACCACGAAATAAGCAGAATGTACCTGCCATTGATTTGGTCACCCTGGGTCCCCTTGGTTTCAGCTGGAGCTGTAGCTCATGGCTCGGGGATGCCAGAGGCCAGGACCCTCCCCAGCTCCCCACTCCCTGCTCAGTCATCAGACCACACAGAATGCCCGTCGGGCAGGGATGGCTATGCTACTTGGAGGGTGGGTGACTCGTGGCAAATGCCAACTAGGGAACACAGCCCCAGTTCCTCAGCCCTTCACACGGGGGCCCCACAAATGGGCCCCTGGCATCCTGTAAGGTTTCAGCTGCCCCTACCGCCAACCTTACACTTCTACTCCTCTTCCTTGTACCCATGCAGCTGTCTCACACCTCCTTGTCTTGGCTGGTGTGGCCACCCCTGCTTGGATTTCTTGGGCAAGACTCAAATTTGCAGGTTCCGCTCTAACAACTCTCCCCTAAACTCCCAGCTAAGCCTGTCTCTCTCTCAGCCTGTCGTCAGCCTTTGGACAGAAGGGGGAAGGGGCATTAGGGACCCTCTTCTGGAGCAGAACAGCCTCATCCGTCTTGTTGGGCATCCCCCCAAGCACCACTGACCACTCCTGCCCCCCAACTCCCGCCAACGCCGGCAGGCCCTGTGCAGCGGGTCCCCAAGCTGCACTCACCTGGCACACCCTGCAGACCTCTCCCCGGTCCCAGCCACAATCGGTCCCACAGTGACCTACGAAGGGCGGGTAGCCGCTCAGCATGATGTAGAGGACCACGCCCAGGCTCCACAGGTCACAGCGCTTGTCGTAAAAAGTGGCCTCATCCCTGAAGACCTCCACCACCTCCGGGGCCATGTACTCTGCAGAACCACACTGTGGGGGCCAAGGTTGGGAGGGGAAATGGCAGAGAAGGGAGAGGCTTAGTCACAGGGAGAGGAGATGGCTAAGAGCAGAATGTGATGATGGCATTTGAGCAGCATGGGGCCGCAGAGCAAGGAGTTGCCAGGAAAGCCAGCCATAGGGTTCGCCTGATACCACCAATGCACTTCGAGAAGCTGGGCTAACTGAGTGTTTGTAAACGGAGTCCTAGCGTTCCCCACGGTCCACATGACCAGTTCCAGGTCACCTTCCTATCTTTCCAGGTCCTTCTCCAGTAGGCTCCAGGTCAAGGAGCTGCAGGAATCTCTGCTTCAGCTCTCTGCATTCACTTCATGTACAGGGGGGCTTCAACGGACCAGGGGCACGGCTCTGGGAAGGGCTCTGTGGACATCTGATCCCAAAAGCAAGGAGTTCTTTTTTTCTTTTTTTTCTTTTTTTAAATCGTAAGTAGGCTCCATGCCCGGCACGGGGCTTGAATTCACAACCCTGAGATTAAGATCCGGGCTGAGATCAAGAGTTGGATGCTTAACTGACTGAGCAACCCAGGTGCCCCCAAAAGAGAAGGAGTTCTTAAAAGTGAAGTCCTGCCAAGCTTCTCTGCCAACTTGGAGGTTTAAGGAGGTAAAAGAGGTATAAGGATTCAGAATTAAGAGTCCGTCCAACCTGGGAGAGCTCTTAGAACAAATCCAATCTCCCTGCTTCTCCCATTTATAGATGGGAAAACCAAGGATGAGGAGGGGGCAGGGGATCTGGTTCCAGCACACCAGTGATAAACCCAGTACATTCAGGACTTTTTCCTTCCATCCTTGCATAGAAGATGCTGATAAAAACAAAACAAATTCTTTTTGCTCCCATCTTCCTTATTGCAGGCTTGCCAAGAGATACCTCCCTGGCCCCCAACATACACAACTAATTAGATGGGAAGACAGGAAGTGGAGAAAGGACATTTTCCGTGTTATTGGCAATTAGAGTTAATGACTTTGAGAACAAGGTACCTCAGTGTAGTAGAAGCTAATACAGAAACATTTCTAATAATGTCAATTAGAGTAAGACATGAGCATACTGAAATGCATGTTTTAAAAAAGGTTATTAGGAAAATTCACTTATGAAGCATGCAAATGTCAAAAGATTCATAATAATTATAGTACATCGGGTATGTGCAAGAGCTGTCTTAGGAAGAACAGCTCCCAGCTGCACATCTGGGCATGAAATATGAAGTGAAGGAAGCAACAGGATAACTTAGGCAAGTGATCCTACACGTAGAGAGCTGAGACCTCTCAGTTCTGGCCACAGAGAGACCATACTCCCCCTCTCTATCACAGGGTCATGCGTTGAGACACCGCCAGGGAGGGCGGGACTCAGAGCTGTCGCGTGCTCACGTGCAAAGGGCTGGCCTGGGATATTGTCTGTCTTTACCTGGGTCAGGAGTCAGGGCTCAGCCTGTGCCACAGATACAATTTGTCTCATTACTGGCAGAGGACCTGCCCTGAACAAAAAGCTCTCATGTCAGTTTCATTAGCAACTAAGCACTGACGGGGAGGGGGTGGCTCACAAAGCAGGGGCCAGATGACAACTCAGGCAGAAACCCTTGGTTTTCCTTCCTTAGATCTCTGTTCTGGACTCCAGCCTTGGGTTGGGGGTACTCCAAGGGCACAGAAGCCCTGAAGGAGGTGGTATGGGGAGCTCAGCCATACATACTGGAGTGGTCAGCTCTGGTGTGGTTATGGGGGTACAGGAGTTGTTCAATTTCACCCCGCTGCCCAAGTCAAAGTCACAGATTTTCACTGGAGACACCTGAAAAGGACAGCAAAAAGCAAAGGTTACAAATATAAGAAACCCAAGGGCAAGAGGAGACCAATGTGAGTGTGACACAGTCACTCACCATCCCTCACTCCTTCCCCTCTCACTCAATAGCTCTTGCTCACGCGTGTGTGCACACGCACGCGCGCACACACACACACACACACACACACACACACACACACACACTCTCTCGCACGCTTTCATTCTATGGCTGCCATGCCAAAGCCCAGCTTTATCTGCCATGTCATGTTTACTCTCCTTGGGTTAACTAGAAATCACCTGAGGATTTATCCTAAGGTGTCCTCTGCCCGACATTCTTTCCTCACTTCCTAAGAGAAAATGTGCATGCTACATGGTGTCAGACCGCTGTGCACTTAGTAAAATGAGCAGCAAACCTATGGAACTTCTGCCCACAAATGACAAATGACGGTGTAGGCTGCAGAATCAGAGAAGTATGTATGTATTCCTGAAAGACTCCTGGTGGCCCATTCAGTGGGGGGCACCACCTCAGGTGGCTTGGAGTGACCAACTCATCTTTGCTTGCTTGGGACTTTGTTGGTTGCAGCCCTGAAAGCGGAGTATCCTGGGAAACCCCTTGAGCCCCAGCAACCTGGGAGGGCTAGTCACCCAAACCGGATGTTGCCCCTGAAACCACAGACAGCACGAGTCATCTCTGGAGCCGAGTGGGAGGGTACCTCGCGTGCCTGCCAGGGAACAGCCTGCGTGGTGGAAGAAGCACAGTGAGCCCCTCAAACATGCTGGTTGTGGGAGTGCCAGCTTAACCACCGCCCTGCTGGGGAAGCCGACCATCTTTCTTTTCCTTCCTTCCTTTCTTCCCCTCTCCCTTCCTCCTCCTTTTCTCTCTTATACCCTTCTTTTTCACTTAGTCTCTTTTTTTTATTGTGATAAAACATATATAACGTAAAATAATCCACTTTAGTCATTTTTGAATGTATGAATTCTGTGGCACTAATTACAACCATCCCCAGTATCTGTTTCTAAAACTTTTCCGTCATCCCAAAAGGAAGCCATGAGGTAGAAACTCCCCATTCTCCCCTCTCCCCAGTAACATTTCATCTATTTGCCATTTGTAAGAATTTGGCCATTTCAGATGTTTCATTAAGTGGAATCACGCAGTATCTGGCTTTTTGTGTCTGGCTTATTTCACTGAGCATACTGTTCTCAAGTTTCGTCCATGGTGTAGCATGGATCAGAACTTCCAACTGTTGTGTGGCTGAACAATATTTCATTGTACGGGGGGACCACATTTTGTTTATCCATTTACCTGCTGATGGGCACTTAGGTTGTTTCTAGCTTCGGCTGTTGTGAATAGTGCTTCCATGAACACTGATGTTCAAGTTCAAGCCTCTGTTTTCAATTATTTTGGGTATATACATAGGTGTGGAACTGCTGAGTGGTGTGGTAATCCTGTTTAGCTCGGCGAGGAGCTGCCACACTGCTCCACCGTGGCCACATCATTTCCAGTCCCCACCGGCAGTGGACTCCAATTTCTCCACAGCCTCATCAGCATTTGCTCTTCTCTAGTTTTTTCTTCTTTTTATAATTCTAACCATCCTAGCAGTTGTGAGGTGGTGTCTAATGATTTTTTTTAAAGATTTTATTTATTTATTTGAGAGAGACAGAGAGAGAAAGAGAGAGAGCATGAGCGGGGGGAGGGACAGAGGGAGAAGCAGACTCCCGGCTGAGCAGGGAGCCCAATGTTAAGACTTAATCCCAGGACCCTGGGATCATGACTTGAGCCAAAAGGCAGATGCTTAACCGACTCAGCCACCCACATGCCCCTAATGGTGGTTTTGAACAACAATTTCCCTAATGACCAAGGATGTTGAGCATCTTTTCATATGCTATTGGTCATTCGTATACTTTTTGGGGGGAAATGTCTATTCAAGTTCTTTGCCCATTTTTATTTTTTTTAAAAGATTTTATTTATTTATTTGAAAGAAAGAGACACAGCAACAGAAGGAACACAAGCAGGGGGAGTGGGAGAGAGAGAAGCAGGCTTCCCGCTGAGTAGGGAGCCCGATGTGTGGCTTGATCCCAGGACGCCAACGTGCAGCTTGATCCTAGGACCCCGAAGTGGGGCTCAATCCCAGGACCCTGGGATCATGACATGACATGAGCCGCTTAACGACTGAGGCACCCAGGCACCCATTTTGCCCATTTTTAAAACTGGGTTATCTTTTTGATGTTGAGTTTTAGAAGTTCTTTATATTTTGGATATTAAACCTCTATCAGATATATGCTTTGCAAATACTTTCTCCCATTCTGTGGCTTATCTTTTCATTTCCTGGATAATGTCTTTTGATGCTTGGTTGCTCTTAGTTTTAGTTTTTCAACCACAGAAAAGGGGCAGTAAACCTGAGCCAATAAGATCAAATGAAAGGACAAAAGCCATAAAAGCATCTTGTGAACTGGAGGCAAGAGAGAAGATCAGAGCGTCTGCAGGGTGCTGGCATCAGACTACGTTAGTTTTAATCTGTACCCCATTACTTACCAGCTGAGGGCCTTTGGGCAGGCTTCATAATCTACCTGAGCTTCACTTCTGTCATCCATACAATGAGAACAGTAATAGGACCTACCTCATGAGATTTTATAAATACTTGATAAAATAAGTCTAAGTGCCTGGCACAATACAATGTAAGCACTCAAGAAATGTTAACTATAATTATTATTAATAATCATAACGATAATGGTGACAAATTATAAAGTCTTATGCCAGAGCCACTGACAGGAAGTCACAAGATCTTATTTGAGCTAATGAATTACTACTCCCCACAAAAGAGCTGTAAGGAGCAGCTGACACATTCACTTGCAGGCGTTTCTATTTATGGGCTGTCCCTTAATTCAGACCGACAGGGTGTGTTCATACACACGCGCCCGTGTACATACACACACAGCCAGCAGACCCAGCAGGGCCTCAAACCCTCCAAACAAACAGAGAGCTTGTCAAATTCTTACATGCTTATGGAAGTACAGACACTTCCATTTAGTAGGAGGCTAAGGTAAAGTTTACAATAGGTTGCATCTATTTAACACCCAGTATCCATGTTTGCTTTTTAATGGGCACCTTTGGAAATAAAAATGGAAACAAGAAACCCTTTCCAGGAACTTGCTTCCTAATTATTATGTCAAGTGCTAGGTACCAGCTGGCATATATACCATAGCATAAACATCTTTTTTAGGCAAAGATGCACTTCACAGAAGACTGAGTTGTTGTCTATGACTCACACCAACTGCTCAACAGACAGGTGCACTGGGCTAGAAAACATTCATTTTGTGCAGTCCTCATGTATTTTACAAACTCTTAGGTATAAGCCAATCACACTGTTGATAAAGAGCAAAGAAGAGACAGGGATTAACCCGATTTGGAATGCGGAAACACTACACGTTTGGTCTGACATTCTCACGTGTCCATAATAATCGGGGCAGGCTGGTACCTGCAGCTGGGAGAGCTGCTAACGACCTAACTGAAAGTAGACGTGGCTTCCCCACCTCGGTGTGAACTGTGTACCCCAACAAGTCAGCCTTAAGTACCTTTTCTGGAGACTCACACAATATATTTTCTGGCTTCAGATCGCGGTGAGCGATGCCTGAAATGACAGAGAGCAAAGAAATGGTTAACATACGCACATAATTATCAAACATTCCACACACAATTAATTTTTTCCAAATGCTGTTGTTCGCAGATTAATTCCCAATTATGGTACATTAAAAAATCAACGAGCTGCAGGAGGCAGAAGTAACCAGAGACGAACCAAAAGCACAGTTGATTCTGCAAGTTCTTTTGAAGCCGAAGCTTTACAAGTCAGGCAGGAATAAGAAGAGGGCTAAATGAATCCCAGCTAGTTGGCCTCTTAGCACTGCAGTGACAACCAAGAATAAGAAGCCTAATATGAAACAGAGCCAAGAGCCCTGCCAAAGGCCATGCTTGGAACTGCAGTGCAGAAATAATCAGTGCCTTGTTTAAGAGCATCTCAGGGGGTTGAAGCTGCTCTACCTCGTTTCTTCTTGTGTGGCCGACTTAGAAAAAAAAGGATTCCCTAGGTGGGACTCCCTGCATGTTCAGAGGACCAAGCGTTAGTTAAAAATCTTCCAAAGCTTGTCCGATCCCCTCCGCACCTGCTCTGCATTTCCAAGACAGTCCTGTCGGAAGCACAGCAAGGAATGCTTTGGCTCCAGGGTGCTGTTCTTAAGAGACACCTCCCTCTCCTGCCTTCTGACCAGACCTCCCAAAGGAGCCTGCAGACGGCAGCCTACTCCATGAGGGGTTAAAAGCTGGTAACCTGGCCAAGAAGGCCCCTGGGGGCGGGGAACCACCTTCTGACCAAAGACAGGGACAGAGAACCAACTCATAAAGTGTGGTGGACACTGGCACTCCATCCCTCTTGCCTCCTGCAGAATGCACAGTGCAGCGACAGAGGGGCCGGAAGGTTGAGCAAGAACCAAACAGCTAGTGCTCAGAAGTCCTACAAAGTAGCAGAATTTTCATGGAGTCACAGGGAAAAGCAGAACCTGCTTTCCTAAAACTCCCTCGATGACCAACTTCTCAGGCCTCCCTCCGATTCCCCGCCAGGAGGCACTTCGCCAGGGAGGGAAAACCCGAGCTCCAGCAGGCTAAGTAACTTCATCAGTCACCTAATTGAGTAAGAACCCAGAGCAACTCAGTCCAGGCTGTACAAATTGAGTCGGGCTGCAGCCTGCTGCACTAAAAGTGAAAGATATTTTCCATTACAGCAAGTGCTCCCACAGAAGGATCATGAGCCACACATGGAGCCTTGCTCTCCAAATAGGTGCTGATGGCCCAGTTGTCCCCCAGCCTGAGAACTGAGCGCCATGCTGGGATAATGGGCCTGCCTCTGCGAGCACACCGGCCATCGAGCTGCTCTGCTTCATTTCCCAGAGGTTAAGCTGCAGCGTGTCCAGTATTTAAAAGTGTGGAACTTGTTTCCAGGCTGACCCATTCCTGCCCAATCCATCTTCCCAGTGTGAAGTTATTTAGAAAACAGCGAAGTTCAGCTAGAAATTGTTTTTCATCCCAACATCAAGTCACAGAGGCACCTGGTTGGCTAGATGCTGGCAAGCACTTCAGAACTCCTAACACACACACCAGCTCTGTTCCCTTTAGTCTGCCTTCTACAAAATAAATAAATAAAAAATAAAACTGCCTCTGCCCCCCTCTAAGGTATGGGTCTTGCTAAAAGTGTGACCCAGTTTTGCAATCTGCAGAGGCAGCTCAGGGAACAGTTGTAAATCTTTGTCAAGCAGGTGTTACCTACATGCATCCTGGCTTTCAGAAACAGAACTAGTGCTATTCATCATGCTGGGGAAAGTACAGACACCCCTTCTAGGAACTTTCGTCCCATGTGCAAGTCAGGCGCCCAGCACGGCCACTGTCAGCGTGCAGGTGTCCCTTCAGCAGCAGGAGGAAACAACGTAGGACCAGCGAGGCTGAGCTCCCCACACACATGCCCCCCTCCCCCAGCGTGCATTGCGCTGCTGGCCCAAGGCAAGATTTGCGCCCACCATGCCTGCAAGTGGTCTGGAGCGCTCACAACCTATGCGGCCGGCCAATATCCATAATGCGGAAGGGAGCAGAGCTAAGTCACCAACTATTCAATCCACCCCCACCCCTCACCAGACAGAAGGCTTTATTTTAAGAGTATTAATACTAGGAATGAAAATGCTTCCTGTTTGGTGGGGGGATCAGGGCGGAGGAAGGAAGGAACACTCCTGCAGAGCTTTTATGTGCCGGGCCCTGTGCCCCAACTGTGTTATACACACACGATTCATCCAGAGGCCTACACGGCTCCACAAGCGAGTGAGGACAGTGCTGCACATGAACCAGAGCAGCACTAACTACCACTGATGACATAATTCTCTCTCTTTTCACCCTAACTCTGGGGGTAGACATTACTACCGAGAGAACACACAGCTGATGAAAAGGTAACGCCAGAATTCATTTTTCCATGGCACTGCTGTAAGGCACGTTTTAAAAAGGTAACCATCAGATATATTTTTGGAAAGACAAAAACAATTTGTAAAAAGATTTAATTCACTATAAAAATTCTTAATCGGTCCTAGATAAGGGCCTTGTAAACTGAGCGTAAATCGGACAACAGCAGCCTGCAATCTACCATCATGATGTTCAACAGACACCTCAAACTTAACCACGTTAGTAGAAAAATGCATTTTTCCATTTATCGTGAACAAGATACAAAACTAGATATATACTATCATGCTGATTTTGAAAGAGAAAGATATAGGCGACATATTTTAAAAGACTAGAAAGGGGGCACCATGGTGGCTCAGTTGGTTAAGTGTCTGACTCTTGATCTCAGCTCAGGTCTTGATCAGAGGTCCTGAGTTAAAAAACAAAAACAAAAACAAAAACAAAAACACCAAAAACCTAGAAAAAGTAACACCCAAATATTTACACCAGAATAGAATTATGATGAGGCTTGCATCCTCCTAGGACAGGAGAAGGAGATCACCCATACTCACACACCCACTCATCTTATTCATCATGAAATGTACTCTTTTTCCCCCTTGCTCTTTCTCCCCTGTCCCTGCCCTTCTTAAGACTGCCACATCTGCCCACCATCCACATGGGAAGCCCAGGGCCATCCTGGCTTGCTTGCTCACCCTCATGGGTGGGGCTGCCAGGTACACCAGCTCCTGGCCTGGCTCTCTGCCTGGCCTGCCCCTCTCCATCAGTCCCCTGAGGCTGGCTGTTCCAACCCAATCACCAAGATAAAGGCTTGGTTCACCTTTGGTGTGCAGGAAGTCAAGGGCAGCGGCCACATCCCGCACCACTCGGCTGGCTTCTCGCTCATTGAAGTGCTTCTGCTTCTGGATATGGGCCAGGATGGAGCCTGGGGAGCAGAGGAGACACACAGGTATGGTCTTTTCAGGCCTTAGGAAGCATAACTTCTCAGAGGTCAAGTCTGCTCAAGTTTGGGGTGGGGATGGAGCCTTATTCATTCAGCACCAGGTGTAGTACCTGGCACAAATGAGGTGCCAGCACAAAACTGGAATGAACATGGGGCACCTGGGTGGCTCAGTTGGTTAAGTGTCTGCCTTCAGCTCAGGTCATGATCAGCTCAGGTCCCGGGATCCAGTACCACATTGGGCTTCTCCCTCAGCAGGGAGACTGCTTCTCCCTTCCTCTCTGCCTGCCACTCCCCTTGCTTGTGTTCTCTCTCTCTCACTATCTCTCAACATCAAATAAGTAAATAAAATATAAAAAAAAAAAACTGGACTGAACAGAACTGGACTGTCATCTTCTGTACCTACCCACGATGAGAAAAGGAGAAGGGAGAAAAAACAACTCTATGCACGACCAAAAATATTAGTGTCATTGAGGCAGATTTGGCTTTTGAAGTAAGAAAGAATTAAAGTGAATCCACATAAGGTTTGGGCAGGGGCCTCACCACAGGAACACTTCCTCTTTTGGCTCTGATCTCAAATCCAAACAAGAGCTCAAGCCTTCAAACAGAGGTGCCACGCCTTCAACAAATATGTAAAGGTCTAGGAAAGTCTAGAAAAAGGGGGAAAAGTGCTTTCCCTCTGACTTTCCTATTTCTTATTAATAATAGTATTATTTTGTTAGCAACGGCTAACATTTATGGAGTAGTGACTATGTGCCAGACACTATGTAATAATCTTCAAATAGGTTATCTTAGCCTCACCACAACTGTACAAAATAGTTATACCGGTTCTATAGATGGGGAACCTGAAGTCAAGAATGGATCAGCAACTTGCTCAAGATGACACACCAATAAGTGGAGGCATCAGGACTTAAGGCCAGTGAGTCTGGCCTTGAACCTGTACAGACTACCCCTCAGCTGGACATGTGGTCTGGCTGCTGGGGGCACGGGCTGCACTAAGCCAACCACAGTCTCCTTACCTACTGCAGTGGCTCTGGCCTCAGCAGGACTGCACTCTAAGCAATACGTTTACAGACAACCCCCAGCATTTTAAATGTAACGTCTTGGTGGTGGTAGGGCAGGGGCATGAACTTATGGCACAGGCATGAGCACATGGCCTGGCTCCATGCGCTCTTTGCTCACAACTGGAAGTCAGTATTTCTGGGCTGAAGGGCTCACTTATGCATCTTTTTTTTTTTTTTTTAAGATTTTATTTATTTATTTGACACAGAGAGAGAGATCACAAGTAGGCAGAGAGGGAGAGAGAGAGAAACGAGGAAGCAGGCTCCCTGCTGAGCAGAAAGTCCGATGCGGTGCTTGATCCCAGGACCCTGAGAATATGACCTGAGCCGAAGGCAGAGGCTTAACCCACTAAGCCACCAAGGGGCCCTCGTTTCTGCATCTTAAAAATGGCACAGGGGCACTTGCTCTCAGTCGGTTGAATGTCCGGCTCCTGATTTCGGCTCAGGTCATGATCTCAGGGTTATAAGATGGAGCTCTGTTTTCAGCTGGGAGTCTGCTTGAGTTTTTCTTTCTCCCTCTGCCCCTTCCCCGCGCGCTCTCTCTCTCAAATAAACAAATCTTTTTAAAAAATGGCACAAATTTACTTATTGCTGGTTTTTGGCATGGGGAAGGGATGACAGATCTTTCACTTGCCAGATTAAACAATGAAAGGATCCCAGCATGCTAGGGATCATTCCCAGATAACCAGCTCCTGGCTAGGTCTCACATTTGCTTTACTGTAGTGAGTCTCTTGCTTCCAAATTTATTAAAAGGGCAGATAGAGAGTAATATCCTATCTACTTCTAAGATAGCCTTCGGCATACCCAATAGTTTTAATAATATTAATAGCTGACACTTATTGAACCCTTAGTGCCCATGGGGCACTGTGCCAAGCATTTCATCTAAATGATCTCACTGAATCTTCAGAGCTATCGAAAAAGGTAGGTGCTGTCATGATCCCTATTTTATAGATGAGAACACTGTTTAGAAATGTTATATGACTTGCCCAAGGTCACACAACTAGAAAGGGATGGAGCTACACTTAAACCCAGCTTTGCTGGTTTCTAGAGCATGCTCCCTTAACCACCAAACCCTTTCATGTGGCCCTCCACTCAGCTCCGGATATCCTCTTTAACCTGCACCCTGCAAATCTATCCTTGGGCTGGGTGAGTGACGGTGAAGGCAAGGGCTGTTTAGCCCCTTCTCTGCGTCAGGAAAACAACTTCAGTACCCGTTCCAGTGGCCATGTGTGTGCGTGACAGCAGTAGTGGTGACAGTCAAGAGTGGCATCTTTCCATCCGAAGGACACAAATCCTCAGACCTCCTCTGTATCCTGGGTTTATGTCCTAAGCCATGGGACCCTCCTTTGCCCTGGTGAGCCTTTCTGGACCTCATAATGTATGCAAGAGCTTCTACCCCATAATTAATTTAAACAGTGAACAGGTCAAAACAATGGATTGATAAATTGATGACTAAATGTATCTATATGAGTCCTACTACAGGGAGAAGGCATTTATAGCATGCCCACACAGGTGACATTCTAGGTTCTGCAAAATGCTAATTATCATCTTTCCCTCCGGCCTCCCTTCTCCCAAATCAAGGGCAGTTTTAAGTCCTTCATCCTTTTTATTAGCTTGACTCATTTTAGAAGTCTCTGGGATTCATGATGGATGATCACCACCCTGAGTCTTAATCAGAAGTCCAAACACATACTCAACAGTAAGTACCTCCTTGCAATTTCTCAAAGACCAAGTAAAACCTTGTGTCATCTTCAAAGAACTCAATCAGCTCCAAAATGTTCCTTAAATAGGAAAAAATAGGAGGAAAGGGAAAAAAAGGGAAATGGTATTATATATTAAAGCCCACTTACAAATATACAATGAAAAAAATATACAATGCCCTGTAGCAGGGCAGAAATCAACCTGAAATCAGAATGCTTATTAAAGACCCATGTCTGAGAAGTAGCCAATGGTGTTAGCAAGACTCAGGTCACCTTATCTTTCCATAATGTTCAGTCTCTGGTGTTTTCACCAAGTCTGTGCTGTCAAACCCCAACCCTAAAACCCACTAGGTAGAGTTATAAAAAAGTCCCGGTCACATTAAACTGAATAAAATCTGCAGCCGACTGGAAGCAATTGCGGCTAATAACACTGAATAGTAGGTGTGTGTCCTGGAGGCAAGCAGCAAATAATTACTTGCCCTCCCTCTTGCCCATAAATCACGGGGCAGTATTTACATTGCCTGGAGAAAATGGAAACATCTGTCAAATAGACTTGGGGCCTAACGTGGGCACCGCTAGACCCTAACTGCTAAGCGCTGCTTAATGAAACGGCCGCGTTACTGGCCGCCGTAGCACTTGTGGCCTTCCCCGGTGAGCACTCTCTGTCTGCCTGAGCATTACCGTGCTCTGCCAACAAGGTCGTCTTGTAACTCAGGAGCGAAGCCACCGGCCTGGATATCGGAGGTGTTGGGGTTTTTTTTTTCTTTTAAAGAACGAAATAAACCAAGTAGAGGCTCTGATGCTCAACTCAGAAGCTGCAGGGCTGAAAATAAAAATCTGTCCCTCATAAAAAAATGCTGACCACTTTGGGAGACGCCAGGCTTTTACTAGTGTGAAGGCGTCCAAATAAGATGACTAAAATGGCCTGATTTGAAAGAAGATTGTGGAGGCAGCGCCTGGAGTTAAATCAACAGCAGCCCCCATCCTCCAAGCTTAATGACAAAGCCATCAATACCTGGCCGCTGGCTCCCCGCTGACCCTGCTGTGCAGGGAGGCAGAGGGGGAAGCAGAGTCTTAGAGGTGACCCTGATTTAAAGCCACCGCGGGAGAACCACTCATTTGGAGCTGGTGGTGAGGCGGCTGAGGCGGGGCGGGAGGCCACCTTGGCCTAGTGGGCCTGCAGAGTACTGGAGCGGGCTTCCGGAGCCTGAGTGGCGGCCGCACATCCACTAACGTGCTGGGTGCAGGACACAGCAAGTACCCGTGCTAGCTCACACTGTCCTCATCTAGTCACAAAAGCTGGGCCCGAACAGTGTGTACTGGGTAACCCTCAGTCAGCCTTGTTCCCAAGGGCACTTGAAGGAGGGAACCCCATCTTCTCCCAGCCCCTCATTCAGAGGGCTCACTCTTCCAATTTGCCTGGGTTGTTATTCAAAATACTTCAGCCTGAACAGAAGCAAAGGCTGCAGCTGCATCTCCTCTCCCCACTCTCTTAAACATGGAAAGACAGAAGGAATCCCCTACGGTTGTGGCCAAGGCACGTGAGCTAAATGCTGGGGTCGGAGGTGGTGAGAAATGACCTCTTCTGCAGCTAAGCATCCCCCCAAGAGAAGCAGCAAGTAACCCAAGACTGTACTCACTTGTTTCCTTGACACTGATAGAGCGTCTCTACCTCTCGAAATACCCGACTCCGGCTGTGCCCTGCTTGTTTTTCGATGATCTGTGGAAAGAATAAAATCTGTTATACCCACCTGACCTTGAAACACCTCTCAGCAGGAGCCCTCTGGGCAAATGCAAGGCCCAATTCAGCCCACGTCTGGTTTCAAGCACAAATGTGGAATAGACCTTGGTGACACCGGCGCTGTGACTCCGCCAGCAGCACAGGAGACCAACCCGAGGCTGTCCAGCCTGGCTGAGGCCTATTTTGACTCTGGCTAAGCAAATGCTGTGGAAGTCTATGGGGACACCGAGGCAGCCAGCAAGAAGACACAGAACTACCTCTACCTGGCTCCCACCTCAAGGGCATTTCTTCCTGTTGTAAGGGTGAGATTTACAACCCCCACCGAAGGATCTTCCAGGGCTGGAGGAAGAGCAGTGGGGCTGGAGGAGGCAGCAGAGAGGAACTAGAGCTCCAGGACCCGGCTCAGACCCCACCCCAGCAGCTCTGCAGAGAACGCGCCCTTTGGCAGGCACTGTACTAAGTAACTCAGATACACAGTCTCAGTTCTTACAACATAATCCCGAAAGACAGGAAGAGGTCAAACATTTTGCCCACAGCTTGATAAGTGGTGACAGGGCTGGCATCCAAGCCCAGCGCTGCCTTCAAAGCCCTTGCTATCCTACCTCTATCTATGTTCCACCCAGCTTCTTTCAGACAACCTAGAGACATTGTCTCCCATCTATATACCTGGAGATGCTTGGCAAGCAGGAACTGAAGGCATGTGTGAGCCAACAGATGAGCAGGTGGTTTAAGCAAGGACTGGCTAACTCTGTACATCTCCACGGACCCATTAACAGCCCCAGACCATTGCGAGTAGAGTCTGGCGGCAAGTGTTCTGCAGAGCTGGCTCTGCCTTATGGCCCCACGTACGGAGTGGGCGGCACAGATGATAACACCCTTCTCCTTTGTTCCCAGACTGCTGTGTAGAATACTTCAAACCACTCCCATGTGTTGCAGCATAAACGCCCACGACCAGGTGTAATTTTCTAAACAATTCCATGTCTGGGAGTAAAACCACAGTGGGCCCACATTCTAAGCAGTCAGAGAAGTGTAGAGCTGGGGCACAGAAGATCTCTAACTTCATTTACCTAGCATTTCAGATCAAAGTCAGGAAGAACCTTCTAGCAGGTAAGCTCTTCAACAATGGCATTATTTTCTCTGCATAAGTAATGGACTCCTGCTATCAGAGGTCGGGGAGCAGAACATGGACAATTATTTGAGGAGATTTGGAAGAAATTCAGGACCATCCTGAAGTTCCACTTCAACCCTGAGACTCTAGGATTCATCATTTGGATGCCTATAGGGAAGCCCTAATAAAATCAAATATTGTGAGGGCATGCTGGGTGAAGTAGCCCGTTTTTAGGGAGCTTCCAAAGGACAGTAGAGATATGAGATGTGGGCTGCTCAAATCAAAGAATTACAAAGCCAGGGTTTGTGTTTGCACCAAAAATGCCCAGGGGCACAGAGGGCCAGGTTTTCCTCTTATGATCCAAACCTGAAGAAATAGGTCTGGACAGGGGCTGCCTGGGTGGCTCAGTCATTGGGCGTCTGCCTTTGGCTTGGGTCGTGATCCAGGGATCCTGGGATCGAGCCCCACATCGGGCTCCCTGCTCAGCGGAGAGCCTGCTTCTCCCTCTCCCACGCCCCCTGCTTGGGTTCCCTCTCTCTCTGTCAAATAAATACATAAGATATTAAAAAAAAAAAAGAAATAGGTCTGGACAGATGTATAAATGTCCCCAAACCTTTGAAAATCAACTGATATTTGTAGCTTATTACTACACTTAAGCATATTTTAAAAAAATTACTTGTAATTTATACTCAAGTTTCCAAAAAGGAATTGAGGTAGTACTGTTTGTTACCATATGAAGCAAAACTCCAGCAAAAAAGGGAATGTGACTTAGCAGAAGTATTCTCCTTTATTAATCCATAGCTGGGACTATGACCAGTTGGTTAAAAGAAGAAACACTTCTTTCAGGAGCCACTTTGGCTGGGCTTGCCTGTATGAGGCAGTGCTTAGACCTGAGGGCTCAGGTAGATATGAAATACATTTGACTTGCTTCCTTGGATTTAATGAGACCTTGTTTCTAGATCAGTGATTCCCAAACTTTGGTGGGTGTAAGAATCACTGGCGAACGAGGTAAAAACACAAAGACCCAGGCTCTACCCTCTATCAAGAAAACTGGGTCTCTGTGCTATTAGCCCTCTAGATGATTCTGATCCATGCTGAATGTAAAGCGGCCCCACATCAGGGCTTCTCCAGCTTCAGCAAGCGTCAGAACCACTTGGAGATCTGGCTAAAATCATATTGCTGGGCCCATCTCTGGTTTCTGACTCAGTATGTCTGGGATAGGGCCAGATAATTCATACTTCTGACAAGTTCCCAGGCAATGCTGACGCTTCTGGTGCAGGAACCACACTTTGAGAACCAGTGCTCCAGATCCATCTCTTCCTCCGTGTGGAGCTGGCAAACAGAAGCACAGACGGGGAGAGTGAGCCACTTCGAGGTCATGCCACAAGGAGCCACCTCTCCTGCTCCAGAGCTGATGCTCAGCCCTCATTATGATACTGTACATCACTTTACAGCATTGTGCAACTGGTAGTGTTTCCACTTCTACCAGTTCATTTTTATTTTCATCTCCATAACCACTCCCCTGAAATAGGAAAGCTGGGTATTGTTATCCTCATTTTAGAGATGTGGGAACTGAGGCTTAAGGAGATTCAGCAACTTGCCCAAAGTCAGGTAGTAGTTTGGTAAAACAGAGATATGGGTCTGCCTTCTCATTCCAAATCTGGTTGTCTACTCCCTGAAGTTTACTCCATTTTTCAGAATAAGACATAGCAGCTTACTATCAGCCAGGTATGGTTCTAAGCACTTTACATATATTCTATCCCTACGTCAATGCTCTAAAGCTTCTATAATTACACCCATTTTACAGGGAAGGAAACTGAAGGACAGAAGTGTTAAGTAACTTGCCCAATGTTACACAGCAAGTAAAAAGAGAAACAAAGAGTTGAATCCAGTGAGTCCAGCTTCGGAGTCCTCATTTTTACTGAGTTGCCATATTGCATACTATGAAGCGTATCTGGCTTAGGCCAGCTAGGAGTGACTGCGTGCGAAGTTAAGTCTGGCATCCAGAGGAGACACTCACTTTGACCGCATACTCTTTGCCATTCTGCAGGCTCACAGCACCTTGAACTTTGGCATAGGCTCCTTCTCCGAGCAATTCAGAGGTCAGCTTGTACGTATCTAGAGGTGAAATGGGTGACAGGAATAACAAGGTAAGTCATGCCTTTGCAAGCTCAGATGGAAAGAAGAGCTTCTGTCACTCAGCCTCCCTGGTGCAACAGCGAGGGCATACACAGTGACTCTGCAGCGCTCAGTGACAAGGAAGACCATTAACTCTTCCCGCCATCACAGGACTCCGTTTCTCAACAGCTAGACCACATCAAAGGCACCCTGTTCCTCATTTTAGAGATGAGGTCAGTGGAAGAGTTTTAATTTGGCCCACATGTCCTGAGCACCTACTATGTGCCACACAACATATTAAATTCATAATAGGGACAGAATGAGGAATAAAATATAGTTCCTGCCCTTTGACAGTCACAGTCAGGTAGGGAAGACAGACATGCAGACTAGTGACCCCAGAATAAACCAGGCAATAGTAAGTACTGTCATAAAAGGACAAGACACAGGACAAAAAAAAAAAAAAAAAAAAAAAAAAACCCCAAAAAACAGCAGAGGGAAGGAAAGGTTAAATCTGTGTAGGGAAACTAAGGGATCATCACAGAAGGAGTGTGATTTCAATGGACATCATGACTCATTTGTGGAGCACCTGCTCTGTGTCCAGCTGTGCTTGGCACTGGTGATACAAAGGGGAACGAAGCTGTTTCACTGTGTACTACACACAGAAGTGACTGGAGGTTTCTCATTTGTGGAGCACCTGCTCTGTGCCCAGCTGTGCTTGGCACTGGTGATACAAAGGGGAACGAAGCACTGTTTCACTGTGTACTACACACAGAAGTGACTGGAGGTTTCTGAGAAGTTTCCAGAAGTCAGTCACAGGAAATAGGAGACAGAAGTAGGATACAAACGGATGCCTTGAGGTTTTTAGGGTGCTGACTCAGGGTGGTTCTCACAGAGTAATAGGCTGGGGTGAAAGAACATTTAGGTGACCTGCCCAAGCTCACAAATGGCACAGACTCTTCGAGCCCCTTTCAAAGGAAGCCACAGCTCCATCATGGTCTCTGTCAAGCTGACCTCTTCCTCCCCTGACCTCCACTCTTCAGTTCTTCCCTCCTGAGGCAACCCAGCATTTAAACCCACAGGGTGAGCAAAACACTTTTAAACCATGAAATTAGATTTTATCACTCTTAGCGTGAAGGCCCATAATTGCACAAGCCACCCTCGAATAACAGGAAATACTCTCATGTTCACAGAAAGAGCAAGACCTGTTGATTTGGAAACTCCTCTGAAGATCTCGAGACTTTTGTCCATCCCTCCATCCCACCCCTTTACACATATATCTACTGTTTAAGTTAAAGACAAACAAAGAGACAAACCCTACTCTAATTACCTTCTTGGGTCCTGCAGCTGTTTATAAGCGTGCACACTGTTGTTTCTAAGTGTTTTAAATGACATGCGTCTCTGGCAATGGACACTTTGGTATTAGCCTTTTGTGCACCTCAGGATAGGTTGGTGGTTGGAAGCCCAATATCTCCGATTCATAAAGGGCTTGTTACTAGAACCACTGTACAAAACAACTGATTCACTAGTCTGTCTGCGATGTTGCAAAGAGGGACCATGAGGGGACGCTCTTTTAGGTCTCACAGTGAAAGAAACACCATAGGTGAAGGGGGTGCGTCACTCCTGGAGTAGCTACTGACGCTTTCAGTCCCTTGGAGAAGTGTATGATGAGTCACTTCATGCCATCGTATGCCCAGCGATGACAGGACCAGCGCTGAGCCGGTGCCTCCCACAGTGTTCAAAATCTTTGATGATCCAACATCGTATCCCCTGAACACAGCATGCACTCTTAAAGTGGAGTCAAACTCATACAGCACAAGTAGCTGTGATTTCTCGACGTCAAATCCTCTGTTTCTAGAAGATTTAACTTTCACTTGGAGCTGTGGCCTTGGTGTTCTCTCATCCTTTTACATGGTCGTTCTACCTCTCAGCAGCCCCTCCAGGAACAGTCAGGGCAAAGAGCACATCGGATGAGGGCTGAAATGCACCAAGCAATCTCACTCCATACAAGTCTGATGGATCAGTCTTTCTAACCCCCGAACAGGTGCTGAAACGATTCAGACCGCACCATCTGAGAGCTCTGTCATCCCACCTTTCACCCTCCTCACACAGATCAGCACAAGCTGACTCTCAGATACACACACTCAGAGCTAGACCTGTGGGCTACCTGGATGCTCCTCCCATGCTCGGGGAGCCACAGGCCCAGATCTGAGGAGTCGTGTGACCAACCTTCAAACTTCCCTGGTAAGGAGTCAGTGGCCCGGGCCTTCCGCTTCTTCTTTTTCCTCTTGTCACCCTCTGCAATGGGAAAGGGTTCACTGCTGCCCATCTCTGGGAGAAAAGAGATGTAAGGGAAATATCACTATACTGATCAAGGCATAAGTTCACCCAGAAGCAGGGGGACCCAGGAGCTTTACACTGATGGTTTTTAAATATCTGTGAGGACTATTGATTTGTTTGACCCAGGAGGCAAAACTAAAGGCAAAGCCATTATTGGAGATCATTAACTGTGGAAAGGAACTCAGATAGACAGGCTAGATTAAAAGAGGATAGCAGTGGGCGCCTGGGTGGCTCAGTGGGTTAAGCCGCTGCCTTCGGCTCAGGTCATGATCTCAGGGTCCTGGGATCGAGTCCCACATCGGGCTCTCTGCTCAGCAGGGAGCCTGCTTCTCTCTCTCTGCCTGCCTGCCTCTCTGTCTACTTGTGATCTCTCTCTGTCAAATAAATAAATAAAATCTTTAAAAAAAAAAAAAAAAAAAAAAAAAAAAAAAAAAAAAAAAAAAAAGAGGATAGCAGAGCCTGCTTTAACCAAGCTCATTAGCACGTGGATTTAGATCTGCCACCAGTCAAACTGTAGGTCCCAACAAAAACAATGAATCCACAAGCCGAATCCCACCTGTGACATCCTCCTGCCTCAGCGCCAGAAAGGCAAGGCCAAGGAAGCTAAGCAAGGGCGTGAGCTTGGGAGGGGCCCAAGCAAATGAAATCATATGCTCAGTGACATCCGAGAGGATGTACGCAGAGATTTACAGGCCTTCAGTGGAATTGCCCCTGGGGGTACAATAGGGCAGGGGACGGCTTTGAGGATGGCCCTAAATTACTTCATGTCTGGGAACACACACCTGAGTTCCTATGCAACTCTGAGCATCCTCTCCCCTTCCCCTTAGCTCCTTATTTGAGAGGATGCAGTTAGGGTCTATTCAGAAGTCTGAGAAGTCTACAGCTGACAGGTCTCCACTGGGCTGCTGGATGAGGTAATTTACTGCAAAAACATTATTATCTCTCACTGGCCAGCAGGTTAAAGGGAGGCTCCCCACGTTAAATGGCAGATTTGTGAGGCAGACATTTTGACACTGGGCACACCAGGCAGGAAAGGGTAGGGATGGAAAGAATAAGCAGGAGACTGAGAGGGGGAAAGAGAAAGGAGGAACAGGGAACCAGGACTCAATCAGGGCACTGTTTCTAAGACCCTCTAGTAAGGGCCTTCTCCTGTTAAAGATAAATTACTTATAGAACATGTCATGCCCCTGATCCAGAGCGGAGCCTTAATACTCTTTGCCTGCAGTTAGAAATAATAAGATTTCTCTGAAGTCTCTGGGTCTAAATCCCCACCAGGGTGATTAAACCTTTACATCCTTCTAAAATAGAGGCACTCGGGTGCTGGTGGGGCATTCAGTGTAAGAGACTTTTACACCAACCTTCAATAAACACAGGCTCTGACTTGTTGGATTTTTTTTTTTTTTCTAAGAGATTTTGAAATGGAAGCTGGCTCTTTGCCCATTGAGGGGAAAGGCCCACTTTCTTCTCAGAGGACCCCGGCTGAACACGGTCAGAAAAATGGCAAGTCTGCCCGGGAAGATTGATTAGGGCCGATGCATGTCTCTACATTGTTCTCAGGAGCAAGTACACACGGCTATTAGGAGAGAGCACACAGAATGGTGGTACTTTCCACTATAATCCAGAAAGCCTGGTTAGACAGCCAAGTGTCTGACGGCTCGGTTTAAGTGCATTCTTCCTCCCATTTTTGGATCTGATGACAGCAGATTTTTCAATTATACGTTAGAGAACGGATAAACACGTGGATAAAAGGAATCCACAGAGGATCTCAAAATATTACTTGGCCAACAGCTTCAAGCACAAGATCTATCTGGGGATGGCAACACACTATGAATTCAAAGAATCCAACTTAAATATCGGCACCCGATATCTGCCCTCACCAAGCTAAGTTAAAGGGAAAAAGCTGCCCAACACAGTGAGAAATTCTACAGAAATGAAACTCAGGGGGCTCTTCAGGAGCCCAGGGAGGGGTACTGGCCACTGGGACAGCAGGCTGAGGAGGAGGGCCCACTGTCCCTCTTGCCCTGCCCTGTGTGCAGTCCAGGGCCAATCCATTTTCTTATCAGTGCTGAGGGGCAAGTGCAGAGTGGACCGATTTTGGATTCCCTTCTCCTTCTCCTTCCTCTGCCTGCTCTCAGACGGAGGGCCTGAAGACAAGCAAAACAGCCAAAAGGCAGGCAATGCAGAGGAGCAGCAAGAGAGCTGGCAGCATTATAATTCACAGGGGATGCCCAGACATACTTACGACTCGAGCTAGAAAACCCTGTTAGTGGCAATTTATAGTCGGTTTTTACCACAGCAGGGCTGAGGGAGCCTCTTGTGGAAGAATCATACCTCTGAGCACCGCCGCATACGTAATATTAGATTTTATGGCTTCACACACAAAAAGATAGAGTACCTGGTCTATTCTGCATGGATTTCAATGGAAGAGGGTACGCCAGAAGGGACAAATGGTTAAGACTTTCCTTGGAAACAGAACTTGTTGAAGGAGAGTTGTTTTTGAAACTAGGAAGAAAAAAATGTAGGAAGGCAGTGAAGTGAAAAAAGAAAAAACAAAAAACAACCATGCTTAACTTCCCTGTTGACATGGGGGGAGGGGAGAGGGAGAGGTGTCATAATCTTACCAACAGGTTGATAGGTTCCCCACCTGGAACCTGTCTATAATCTCTATTCTACTGCAGACAGTCCACTGGCAGGGTCTGGGGGACCTTAATTTATTAAGCATGTAAACATTGGATGGAAGTTTCCTTGGGGCGTAAGTCTCCATAATCACGCTGGTCCTTGGCTCACCTCTTTCCCTTGGCCAGAGACGTCCTCTCAGCCACTACAACCCAGCTCAAAAGTCTCTGCTCCCCACACCCTCAAAGTCTCCACCCACCTGAATGAGTTCAGTTCGTACAAACACTCTGGAAATCAGGTACCAGGCAAACAGATGGCTTTACTGCATAGAACTAACAGTGCTCCTCCTCTGCTCCCAAATACCCTGCCAGAAGTTCTACTTGGAGCACTGATGGGATCTGGCCTTGAGCTCTCTCCCTGCAGTGTTCGTAAAAGCCAGACTGTTGTCTGTTCATCTCTGCATCTCCTGTAAGCCATGGCACAGTGTCAGATCCACATCAGCCATCAGAAAATGGGCCCCGAAATGAAATGTTAGGAAATGATGCGCATACTTAGCGTTAGGTGTTGTGCCTGACACCCAGGCCCTTTCGGTAACAAGTGCACACACTGAAAGAAATGCAGGTCCACCTCTGCCCTACAGACTGTGCAGAGTGGGGCTAGTCCATTCTATGAGCTCTCTGACAAACTCTTCCTCAGAAAGAGCCCTGTGGCCTGGAAGGTTCTTCCTAGCCAGAAGTGTGGTCTCTGCTGCAGGATTGGGCAATGTGTTTGTTATTTCAGAGGCGGGAACGAGCACTTCTTTTAAGTTTTCAGACAGACCCCAGCTGGTGTGGAAACTCCCAGTACTTCTACGGCCTCCAGCCCTTACCTTCCCCTTGGTCAGGGCTCGGTGGTCTACCATCCGTGTACTGGTGGAGGTGGAGCTGGAGAGGAAGCACAGTGTTGGCAGGGAAAGGACATGAGCTTGGCATCAGGAGACCAAAGAGAAAGTCCCAGCTCAGATATTACTAGACATAGGCTATGCCTATGCCAAGTTACTCTGCCTCTTAGAGTCACAGCCTCCTCATCTACAGAACAGGTTTTAAACTAGTATCTGCCCTTTCCAGCAACCCTGTGAGGACCCAATGATATACTTGATATAAATGTGCAGGAAAAACATATGTGTATGGGGCGCCTGGGTGGGTCCGTCGGTTAAGTGTCCAATTCTTGATTTCAGCTCAGGTCATGACCTCAGGGTCTTAAGATCAAGCTCTGCATTGGGCTTCACACTCAGCAGGGAGTTTGCTGGGGATTCTCTCTCTCTCCCTCTCCCTGTGCCCCTCCCGCCCTACTTGTTGGCTCTCCCTCTCTAAAATAATGAATGCATCTTAAAAATTATGAGTATGCATAGGTATATAGACATACTAGACAGAAATACACAAAAATGTTAATACTACAACAATTTGAAAGAGAGCCTAGTATATACCAGGCACCGTGCTACATATTTTATGTACATGACAGTAATTCTAATTCTTACAATAATCCAACAAGGTAAATATTTTGCTATATTTAAGGTAAAGAAACTGAGGCTCAGAGGTTAAAAAATCTACCAAACACCAAACATCTAGTTAGTGGTTTAACTGGGCTTCAATCTCAGTGCTGCCTTTTGTGTCCAGGACATTTCTAATCTATAGTAGTTTCCTCTGTGTGATGGGGTGATTTTTATTTTCTGCTTTACATTTTTCAGCATTTTCCAAATTTTATACAATGAAATGTGTTACTTTTTAATGTTATTATTATTTTAGCCAAGTTTTATTTTCAATAAAATACACGATACTCTTTCTCCAACACACACTGGAATTCAGAATCTGATTATATACAGAGTATTTAAAATCATATCTAGATTTCTCCACACTGAAATTCGACAATAAGTGAGGAAAAAACGTTTCAGGAATATTGGCACCTGGAAAACAACACACTCTTTTAATTTTTATTTTTTTAAATGCTATTGTTTTTAAAGGAAAAACTTTGTAAAAAACAAAATGATGTAATGAGCCTGCAAGACACCGGTTTAAATCCTGGCTCCCACCACAGAGTGCACTCGGGCAGCTTGCTTAGCTTCCCTAAGTATCAGTTTCTTCATATACCGAGAGAGGTCAGAGTGAGGCCTGGGCTGCTTGCACCACGAGGCTATGGTGAGGGTCAAAGAAGACATGGTGTGAAAGTGCTGATGACTTACTCATTCAACAAATACTGTATTTATTGGGCACCTATGGATTGTCCAGTGCTAGATGGTAAGACTACAAGAGAAGACATAGTCTCTCTGCCCTTAGAAATTTAAATCCACTGACATATAAAACAGTTTCAGTAGAGTGGGACAAGGGCCATGTGACAGGCAAGTACCAGGTGCTGTGAAGCAGAAGACAGGCATCAAATTCAGTTTAGTAACCAGAGGAAGGGACAGCTAAGCTGCCATCTGAAGGATGAGAGGGAACTGGCCAGGGTGGGGTCTGGGGAGGACAGAGAAAGAGCATGTGCTAAGGCTGAAGAGAGCAGGCATGGCTGGTCAGTGTGAATTGGGGAGAATTCCCAGAGCTGTTGAGGTGGGGGCCGAGGAGTCTCACCTGGTGGGCCCGCAAGAGCAACAGCTATTTCCAACAGGTAAGTACCCTTCATCCACTGTTCTCCCCACAGGTGACCCCCAGGCCCACCTCTGAAAGAACTGTCACTTCTCCAGAGTCTTAGGAGCCACACTGCCCCCAAAAGCAGCAGATATGTTCTCCATGCTTTGGTGGAGCCTACAGAGAACCGAGCAGCTCCAGCATCTGGAATGTGATACCCAAGATGATTGCTTTCCCTCTAAGAACATGACTTTGCTGGCTAACTCAGCTCAGCAAATGTAGTTCATGCTCCTCTTCTGAGTACTCGAGAGTTCTTTTCAAAGTCTACGGTTCCCTCCTCTTCCCAACGTGTAAGATTTATTTCCCTCAGTCACAAAGGCTTTCCAGAGAAGGAACAGTGGTGACAACAAGCTGAGGAGTACAACTATCTGTGTGGTGTTGCCTCCTCAGTCGCCAGCTGGTGGAAGCCCTCAAATGATGGAGAACTGACAAAAGGAAAGAGGGCGTACTCTCTTAAGGAAGAGCCAAGACTGAGAAATGGGAGGTCAAGGAGGCAGCAATGAGGAGGGGCCTGGGAAGACAGAGCCCGGACACTGACTTCTCTGAAGGAGTAGTACTAACAGGCGCAGTGCTACCAGCTACAGTACGCACACCTACACCGTGCTCACCAGATGCCAGGCAAAAGGTCCTAAGCATTTCACAAACACATTTTACATAACTCCTTTCATCTTCACAACTCTAGGGGATAAGAATAATTATTATCTACATCTTACAGATGAGGAAATTGAGGTACAGAGAGATTAAGAAATTAATTTGCCCCGGAGTCACACAGCTAGTAAGTGGCAGAGCTAGGATTTAAATTGAGACAGACTGGCTTAAAATTCAAGCCTTTAACTATTATGTTACTAGTAGTATATTTAATATTATTTCATATATCTAATATTATTAATATTCTATTGAGCTATTCATGCTGGAAGGCAGGAGGGGTAGCCCAGTCAGAGTTAGCCAGGAACCAACAAGAATGCTTTTATTTAGAACCCTTAGCACAGAGCTTCCCTACTGAGGCACTGTGAATGAGATATTGATCCTCTCACCGGGCTGAAGAACATCATTTTCTGTGTGGGCACTTTCTGCGTGTGCTCTAGCTGACACAAATACAAAGGCATTATCACCACATTACCATTATTATATTAATCTGAAATCTGATTAAACAGAAGTTTCTTTGTCTTACTTGGAGATAACTGTATTTTGCGTTTTGGCATATTACGGAGGATGAGCTACAAACTAGTCCAACCACATGATTTCGTGGCAGTTCTGGTATCAAGCACAAGGCTACATTCTTCTTCTATCTGACGTATTAGTTGGTTGATGTCATTTCTGATGGTATCATTACTACATAGGGGCCAAGGTCAAGGAAAAAGTACACTCAAACAGAAGCTACTCATATTTAAAGCACGATGGGTGAAAGGAACCACCTGTGCAATCAGTTCACTCAAAGGCCAGTCTGTGAGTGATTCCGAGGGACTAGGCTATTTCACAGGTTTTTCCCAAGAGCCCTGTGTGTAGTGAGGCTGGTCAGCATTAGGCAGACTGCAGCATCTCACTCAAATTCGGGGAGAGTGGGCAGTCTGAGGCCCACTAGGGTGCCGGCAGGGCGGTGAGTCACAACAGGCCTCAAACAAGGCTGGGACACCAAGATTTCCAGAGAGAAAAGGTCTGGAGTCAGGCCCATCTTCTTCCTCCATTCTGATTCTGGGATCACAGCAGCCTTCAAAGCTGTCACCTGCATCTCCTGGCGGAAGGAATGATCAGAGGAAGGATGGAGCGGGTAAAGGAAGTGTGTGCTTTACAAAGAGTAAGCGAGAGGAAAGGACTGTATTTGTGTGAGCAAGAGGACAGAATAAAAAGCTGAAAAAGGCAGGCTGAAGCCAGATCACCCAAGCTTATTAATGTGACCACAAGGCCCTCTAACGTCTGATCCCCATCTGCTCCGCAGCCTCACCAGGCCTCAGTCATTCTTCCAAACAAAAATGAAGGTTGGCTAGTTCAGCTCGTCATTCAAACAATCCCGCAAATGCTTTTCGCTGAGACAACCACCGTACTTTGGCATGCACACAAGTGCTCTATAAGCCTTTTCACTTTGTCATACAGAATATTAAAAAGATGTGTACTCGAGGGTTGACATTCATTAAAATTAGCAATTTTACTGCTTCATCAGCATATTCTTTTTTAATTTTTTTTATTTTTAAAATTTATTTATTTTTTAAAGATTTTATTTATTTATTTGACAGAGAGAGACACAGTGAGAGAGGGAACAGAAGTAGGGGGAGTGGGAGAGAGAGAAGCAGGCTTCCGGCTGAGCAGGGAGCCCGATGTGGGGCTCGATCCCAGGACCCTGGGATCATGACCTGAGCTGAAAGCAGACCCTTAAGGACTAAGCCACCCAGGCGCCCCAGGACATTCTTTAAAAACAAAAACAAGACAAAAACAAAACCCTGAGATGTAGCAAAGAGGAATACCATGACTGCAAGGACAGTTTGTTCTGGCCACTGCCTTGATTCATGCTAAAGTTCCAGCAGTTCTACACACTGTTGCTCTACAACAACAAGTAACATTTTAATGCTGTTACAAAAATAGTTTGACTTAGTAGATACCCTGAAAAGGTTTCCAGGACCCCCAAGGTCCACATAGCCCACTTGTGAATCACTGCTCTAAGCAGTGGAGCGGGACTGGGCCGTGAAACTGGCTGCGATGTGCAGAAGCAACTGGAGGCTGGCTGGGGACTGGGAGAGCAAGGAGAGGCTACTGCGGCCGGCAGGAAGGCAAGGAAGGCCTGTAACTAAGGCAGGGATGGGAAGGAAGAGAAAGAGGTGATGGGATGAAATCTTAGAGGTGGAACTGGTGGAACTGGCATTAGTTTCGCCGAGGGACTGGAGATGGTGGAAGAGTCAGAGATGCCCATCCTCTTTGAAGGAAGGGATGGGGCCTCTTATCTCTCTGTCCCCTCTGCCCAGCAGAGAGCCAGCACAGAGGGGGACCTCAATATATTTTTATGAACTAAAGTCAGGTAACCAGAAGAGCAGTGGTACCATTAAGGAAGGGGAGAATTCAGGAAGGGGAGCTGGTTGGTAATGGGAAGCGGGGAAGATGGTGTGTCGCTGGGAAGCCTCAGGTGAAGAAGGGTGACACACAGTAGCCAAGGAGTATAAAAGCTCACAGATCAGACTCAAACCATCCTCACCCAACCGTCATTTGACCCCATCTCCAACTAAGGCATTATTTCTAACCTGCCAGGCATGATAGAGCCACAGGCATTTAAGAACACTTCAAAAGAGCATTGTATATGTCACAAATACGGCAAATTAAAAAGAAAAACAAAAACCTGGAAAGATACATCTCAAGCCATTATTAACAATGGTTACTTTGGGAGAACGAAACTTGGGGGGGGTATAGAATTATACTTTTCATACCTCTGTTGCATTTGATTTTGTTATTTATGGCACAATTGTTTTACTTTCAATAATTACAAGTAAATAAATATGTTTTACTGACTGCACAATCTCCCTTTGACCTTCTTTGCCATTGTATTCTGGTAGAAATGTGCTTGTCCTTACTATGTAACTGTCTTAGGCACGCCAGACAGCTCAGCTAATCCCAGCTGAACTGAACACCGAAATCTCCTATCCACCCTTTCCTCTGAAGTATCAGATAACTTCAACCCAAAGCAACCTAAAAGCTTAAGCAAAATGTGCATCCAATCTTACCTTGCCCAACTTCTGAGAAGTAAATCCTCTGTAAACTGAAATGAAATAATGAAATAATGCTCCTGTTGGAGGGCTGCTGTCTTCCAGCTACAGGAAATGCTTCAACAGTCTCTGGAGGTAACAGGCATTCTTCACTTCCTCACCGGCTTTTGCTTCCTCTGGCTTCATGAAAATCTTAAAAAAGCAGAAATAGAAAAGATATAAAAATCTGACTTCTTTAAAATGAGCAGTGAAAATAAAGCACACCCTACATGTCCCCCAGCCTATGCATCACACCAGTAAGTAGATATATACAAGACCATCACAGATTTCCCATCTTTAAAATCTGGCTCTTGAGCATTTAAAAATGCTGACACTAAGCATTTGAAGATGTAATGAGGGTCTGAGTAGAAGTTTTCAGATTCTCTTTCCGCTGTGGGAGTCCAGATGTGGACCTGGAGGACAGATCTGGACAGCTCTGTTCACTGAGGAGTGTCCTGTGGAAGGTAAAATCTGACACTTCTCTGTCATCCATGTTTTTATTCTATATTTTTTTAAGATTTTATTTATTTGACAGAGAGAGAGATCACAAGTAGAGAAAGAGAGAGAGGAGGAGGCAGGCTCCCTGCCTAGCAGAGAGCCTGATGTGGGACTTGATCCCAGAACCCTGAGATCAGGACCTGAGCTGAAGGCAGAGGCCTAACCCACTGAGCCACCCAGGCAGCCCCTTTATTCTATTTTATTAAAAGATTTTATTTGAGAGAGTGCATGCACATGCGCATGTGCATAAGCAGGGGGAGGGGCAAAAGGAGAGAGGGAGAAACAGCCTCCACACTGAGGAGGGAGCTCGATGTGGGGCTCGATCCCAGGACCCTAGGATCATGACCTGAGCCAAAGGCAGATGCTTAACTGACTGAGCCACCCAGGTGCCCCTGTCACCCATGATTTTAGAGATGAATGAACTCTGGCTCAATCTCTTAGTGGCCAGGTCCAGGTGTCATAGGCAGGAGGCAACCCAGCCAGAAAGATAAAGTAGATGCTGAGAGCAGCAGGTAGTATAACTATGAAAAAGGTTTTAAGCCCAATGCATAATTATTGCTAGTTTTCCATGTGATAATTTGATCTTCTATATGTCCACAGCGATTTTCAATCTTGCGACTCTGGCTATCATATGTCAAAGCTGATTTGCCAATTTCTCTACAAAATGAGTATCTATTTCCCCTTTTCCCCAGTGGAAAAGCTCTGAGCATGCAGTTTAAATCTGAGTTCTGGGGCATCTGGGTGACTCAATCAGTTAAGTGTCTAACTACAGATCAGGTCAGGTCATGATTTCAGGGTCCTGGGATGGAGCCCTGTGTCGTATGTGCGGGCTCCATGCTCAGTGGAGAATCTGCTTGTCTCTCTCCCCTCTGCCTCTCCTCCCTCTCGTGCTCTGTCTCTCTCTCAAATGAATGAATAAAATCTTGAAAAAAAAATCTGAATTATGGGCCCTTGTGCTAACATTTCTAAAATGGTCTTCTAACTGGAAGCCGGATATGTTTCACCAGGATCTCAAATCATGTGTCCCAAACTTGACTTATCCCAACCCCCATCTTTCCTCCTTTCCCTTCTTCTCTATCAGATTCTGCCACCCTGCCAGCTGCCCAGCCACAGATCATCTGAATCATTTCCACTATCTCTTTCTCCTCTAATCTTGTCATCCCAAATGCTCACATGCTCAGGCTTTCCCTCAGCCTGGTATGCTGCTTCTTGAAAAGAACACTTATATTCATCCTTCCGGGCTCCTCAGGAACTACTGAAGGTGATCCCACAAATTACAGCAGTCCCTAACCTTTTTCTATTTCACCCAGCATTTCATCACATCCACGGCACGCAATGATAATACACAGAGCTGGGTATTCACACACATACATGGCTCGCCCACTAGGCTGTAAGCTCCTCAAAGGCAGGGATGGATCTTTTTCATGTTTGTCTACTATCTAACACAGTATCTAGCTCAAGAAGGGCTCTAGGAAATATCTGACTACATTACTTCATCCAGAAAACATTTCTTTATTGTTCAATAGAGAATGTTAGCATACATAATTATTCTTCCTATCGTGCTTTTTGTTCCCCAACAAATCTCTGTGGCCCAATGAAACTATTTCTAGGCCCCAGAGAAGCTCAAGTTATACTCCCTCTCCTTAAGGCCACATTTCCAGGGACTACCTGGAACACCTTTGAACTATAACTCTGCTTTTAGTCTTGCCAGAGGTTCCATCTTATTGCCTATAGTAAGAGTTGGCCAATTTTTTTTCCACAAAGAGCCTGATAGTAAATATTTCAGGCTTTCTCTATGTTGCATGATCTCTATTGTGACTACTTAATTTTGCCTTTGTAGAACGAAAGCAGCCATAGACAATATGTAAATAAATGATTGTGGCTATGTTTCTATAAAGCCTAATTTGGATTTTCTTTCTTTCTTTGTCTTTCTTTTTAAATATTTTATTTATTTGCTTTAGAGACAGAGAGACAAAGAGAGAGAGCGAGCGTGAGTGGGGTGAGGAACAGAGGGAGAGGGACAAGCAGACTCTGCACTGAGTACAGAGCCCAACCACAGGGCTTGATCCCACAACCCTGAGATCATGACCTGAGCCAAAATCAAGAGTCGGATGCTTAACAGACTGAGCTACACAGGTGCCGCTTTATTCAATCTATTTATTTATTTGAGAGAAAAAAGAGAGTAAACACAGGAGCAGGGGGTGGGGGAGTGGCAGACAGAGAGGGAGAGGATCTCAAGCAGACTCCCTGGTGAGCATGCAGCTCAATGAGGGGCTCGGTCTCAGGACCCTGAGATCATGACCTGAGCTGACACCAAGACTTGGACACTTAACCAAATGAGCCACCCAGGCACTGCTAGCATTTGGGTTTTAGATAATCTTCCCATCACAGATATTAATCTTCTCTTGAATTTTTCCCCCACCCATTTAGAAATGTAATAAGTATTCTTAGCTTGCAGTCCATACAAAACAGATGATGAGCCAGATACAGCCTATAGGCCATGTTTGTCAACCCAGCTTATTTCCCCTCTTCGCCAACTCCATTCCTTCCCTTCCCACAATGCACACAGGCACACAAACACACCTCCATTTGCTCCCACCTCTAGCAAGCCTTCGGTAAAAACAACCTTCAGAATTTATTTATGGATTTTGTGTTATTCTGCTGTTTAGAACTACTCAGGAGCTGCGGAGGTAAAAGTGCATGGGCTTTTGAGCCATGAGGGCCTAGAATCAGATTCCAGGCTTCCCATTCACTAATAAGTTGTCTTGGACATAATACTTAACTGTCATCATCTCTAAAATGGAGGCAAGAACACCGACGCTGTAAGGTTGTTGTGAGAATTAAGTGAGCTAATGTATTTCAAGTTCAGGGCACAATGGCTGGCACAGAGTAGGCACTCAAAAAACAGCAATTATGACTCTAGCTTGAGATATGGCTTCCCCAGATCAGCTGAGGCCCTAGAACACGCTCTATAAACCACAACTGGGCAGCCAGAAGGAATAAACTGACAGCAAAGTACAAAGGCACAGAGAGAGAATATGAAGATTTTCAGATTCATGACCCAGGATTCTAAAGTGCCTGGTTGGCCCTGATTCCTTCTGGCACCATTTCAAATTCCTGGGTCTCTTTTCCTCCTCAGAAAGAACTTCTGACTCTCACACTGCCTGCATCTTCTCAGCATTCCTTACCAAATACCCCAATAAGCCCTGGAGCCCTCCCTTCCCTCCTGGAGGTCTTCCTGGGATAGGGCTGGGAAAGGATGAATGAGGCCAGACCACAACTACACACAGCGGAGTGCCACTGGGTCTAAGACGGGTGGGGCACCCAATTCCCTCATTTCTTCTAAACTTCCTACGTGTATATGGAATGAAATTTTCCCAGAGTTCAAGAACTAGTTTCTCTATAGAAGTCTTAGAGAAAAAAGGCCTATTAAAAAACAAGGAATCCATCATATTATTTTTAAGTAATATGAAAACATCCATGAAGGGCAGATAAGACTCAGGCTTGTGGTATCTGTCCTTGGTTCACAAGTCAAAGTTGAGCCTGTCACTTCCCTGCTCTAACACTTCTAATGGTGGTCCACTCCACTGGAATAACCAGGCCTCTGTGCTGTCATTCAGGGGCTCACAACCTTGCCCCAGATTACCCCTCCTGCATTAGGTCCTGCCATTCCTCTACAGAAATCCTGACCTACAGTCCAGGCAGAATGGATGATCTGTTTCTACCTAATTGCCTTCAACAATTCCCAGCTCTCCACACTTGTGCATAGTCCAATCACAGCATCTGTCACATGTGATTGCACATCTCCCCTTAGCCTGTGATCTGGGGACAGGGTGAAGACTATGTCTGATTTCTCTCTGGGTACTTACACCTAGCACAGGGCCTGGCATGGGGCAAATACTCAATAAATGTTAATGCATGAATGAAAACACCTGAAGTTATTCTTCCCTTATATTGTTTTAGCTGGACTCTTACGAGCAGACTAAGCAGTCTGGGTCACTGCCGGGAAGTAGGAAAACTGAAAAGAAAGAAAAGAAGCATGACCAATGTGATCCAAGCCACGGAAAATAGGTTTTAAGAGTGAGGTAAAAGAAACTAAGGCTGCTTAGTCTGGAGAAGAGAAGAGGAGGCCTAACTCGATTCTGGCTTTAAGTACACAAAAGGTTCTCATGAGAAAATCTTGATCTCATCCTGCCTTTATAATCAGAAGGAAATTTTCCATATTCAAGGAAAATGGAACAAGAAGAAATGGCTTAAGTTAAGGTCAGAGGGTTTTAAGCTGGAGAGAAAGAAGAACCAAATTAGGTATCACTTTTCCAGAGATACTGTTATCGTACTTTTTGGCAAGTGAATTGAAGCTTACTTAGCACTTTTGTTGAAGGCTGTGCAAAAGGGAGTAAGTATGCTGCTCTGTTCCTGTTTACTGTGGAGAGAGGTGGGTGAAAACACAAGTCAGGTAAGATTTTCTAATGAGCCACTGACTTTTAACTGACCCTTCTCCTGTAGGCACTTTCTGTCATGTTACACTTTGCAGTTCTGCAATAGAACAATGTATTATTTCAAAGTTTCCTGATGAAGCAATGGAAGAAGGCAAGAGAAGGCAGCGATGTCAGAGTAAGACAGTAGGGAAAACCACCCAATAAATACACCTTCGATAGAAACAATAGCTAATGGGACATTAATAATAATTGTTAATATGATTACTATTAAAACTAACATTCATTGAGCACCTACTATGTGGTGGGCACTGTGCTAAGTATTTGACGTTATCTCAATCCTCATAACAATGCTATGCAGTAGGTAATACCTGTATCCCCATTTTACAGATGAAGAAACTGAAAACCAGGAAGGTTAAATAACTTGCCCCAGCCACACAGCTAGCAAGTGATAGAGCCAGGACTCAAACCTAGCCAGTCCAATTCTGGATCTTTATGTAATCTAGTTACATAAAGGCTGGAATTTAAAGCCTAATCTCTCAGAATCCAGGTGCATATTCCTGGCCACTTCCTTACACCACCCCAAGCCAGGAAGAGCAAAGCACCACATGACAATAGCAAGAGAAGAGATCTCAGAAGTGAACCCATATAGACCCAATATTACAGACAAAGAAGCTGAGATCAAGAACTCACAGATGATAATGAGCAGAACAAGGACTTGAATGAAGCAGCCTAATAAGTCTTGAGTGGGGACCTCTTTCTTCCATTATAGATTCTTGCTGAATCTGAGGGTGAGAAAATGAAGGAATGGTATCTGCCAAGTGGGTTCCCTCCCCAGACATTTCTGTGATGAGCTGCTAATCTCACAATAGAACCTATGCCTGAAACACAAGGATGCCAGCAGCCTCTGTAAACTGATTCTGAGATTCTAATAGCAAAGGATGCCAATGCACTTGGTTGACTGTGCTACAGCAGCTGCCAGAAATACTTACACATTAAAACAATCAAGCAGACCTGGACCAAGCAGCTTCCATGTTAGGCTGGTGGTTCACAGTTTAAGCCTGAACTGGACTATTCCAACAGCCTCCTCGCTGATGTCCTCCTTCTGGGACCTTCTTTGCTCCAGACTAGCCTCCATTATGAAGCCAGAGTAAACAGAGCCCTAGTGATGGTATTAGGAGGCTTGCAGCATAATGGAAAGAACACAGGTCTTTGAAATCCAACACTTCTAAGTTTGGACCAAGTTCTGCCACTTACTCGCTACCTGACCTTGGGTAAATCACTTTAATCTTGCTGAGGTCTATGGGGCGCCTGGGTGGCTCAGTGGGTTAAAGCCTCTGCCTTCAGCTCAGGTCATGATCTCAGGGTCCTGGGATCGAGCCCCGCATCGGGCTCTCTGCTCGGTGGCGAGCCTGCTTCCTCCTCTCTCCCTCTCTGCCTGCCTCTCTGCCTACTGATCTCTGTCTGTCAAATACATAAATAAAATCTTAAAAAAAAAAAAATCTTGCTGAGGTCTGGCTTCTTCATCTTTAAATCAGGGATAAATATCCCATATTGTAGGACTGTGAAGATCAAATAAATCATAATGTGTAAAGCATTTAACATATTGCAAGCCACAGTGCAGAGTAGACCCTCAATAAATGTTAATGTTTTCTTCCCAACTCCCCTCTACATTTTGGCCACAATCTACCATTTCAGCTTATTTCCTCTCCTTACCAAGTCCATTCCTCTCCTACACACACACATACACACACACCCCATTTCAGCTTATTTCCTCTCCTTACCAAGTCCATTCCTCTCACACACACACACACACACACACACACACACACACACACAAACACCTGCTCCTTTCCACTTCTAGACTACTGCTCAAATTGCAGCTTCGCATAGGAATGAACTTCTTCCAAAGCCCCGCATAAACTTCCACCTTCAGGAATCCTTTTCTAGACTCCCTTTGGTCATGTTGGGATTGATTTCTCCTTTTCCCAAACTCCCACTTTGTTTACATTCCTTACTACATTTACCACAGTCAGTCTGATTCCAGTTATTTATGTGATTCTCTATCTTTCCAACTACACTGGAGGGAGAAGGCTCTAAGAAGACAATTACTTATTGGAGCGCTGGAAATGTGTTGTTTTCCTCTGTGTATACTTCTCAATACCAGGGTTTTGTACTTAACAAGAGCTCAGTATGTGTTTATTGAATTCAGGCTCACCACCCTTGACTGGGAATCTTTACAGAAAGATCCTGGACTACGTTTATTCTAAAACTGTATTTACTATCTGACTTGATAAACATGATAAACGAATACTCACAGGCTTCCTTCATTTTTTTTTGTCAGTTCTTTCAAAGCACTCTGGATTCCTCTCAAGACATCTCCCCAGGTTACAGGGGGAACATCGCCAGGAGGATAGCTCTCATTCACAGAGGTAGCACAATCTGGGAGCAAGCTCTTTGGAGAACTGTTCCATCCACTGGTGAGGAGATGGCTGCCATTTCCACCATATTAAAAATCAGAATTGTGGAATCAGAAAGTAAATCTGAATGATTTCTATCAGCCTCAGTTTCCAAGTCTATAAACAGAGTTTTAAGGTGTTACACATAAAGCACGGAAATAGTATCTGCCATATAATAAGTGCTCAATCAGTGTTAGATATGATATTTAGAAGGTGGTGGATTGGGGCGCCTGGGTGGCTCAGTGGGTTAAGCCTCTGCCTTCAGCTCAGGTCATGATCTCAGTGTCCTGGGATTGAGCCCCGCATCGGGCTCTCTGCTCAGCAGGGAGTCTGCTTCCCCCTCTCTCTCTGCCTGCCTCTCTGCCTCCTTGTGATCTCTGTCTGTCAAATAAATAAATAAAATCTTTAAATAAATAAATAAATAAATAAATAAATAAATAAATAAAAGGTAGTGAACCGAAAAAAAGAGTCAGGACTTTCACTTGTAGTACTATCTCACTTTTATTCTAGTACTATCTCCATCACTGACTGATTCCTTGTGCAGTCTTAATCAAGTCCCTCCTCTCTTGGGACCTCTCCCCATCTGTAAAATCAGAGGTAGAACCAGATGGTTCCCAAGCTCCTTCTACTATCAACAATGTGTATTTTCCTATGATCATCAAAGAGCCTTCTGTTCCACAGAAGCTGTGGAAAGGAAAGGCAAGGAAAAACACGAATTTGTAGTTGCAGGTTCCCAAATGAGAAGGACCAGCCCTAAGGCCAAGGCCAAAGGCAGAACAATAGATTAATAAACCACCTGTGAGTTTTCCCCTGCATGAACTGTATCACACTCAGTTCAGGTCTTTGAACAGAGCACCGCCTTCCTTCTAACAAAACTCACAGCAAAGCCAAGAGAACAATAATAGCAATGAAAAATCTTGCCTTGTACAGAATTCCTGCACTTTGTTGCCTTTGATGCCGGAAATCAGGGCATCATCAATCTAAACTAGGGCTCTCCTTAGGCACAAAGAGAAGGAAAAACACAAAGGCCCACTCTGAACCTGAAAGCTCATAAAACAGAGACCAAAGTGAGTAAATAAAAAATGTTAATGACTCATTCAACCACAAACACTGCAAAGGCCTACTATGTGCCAGGAAGAGGAGGGATGAAATAGACATGGTCCCTTACTACCAGTGTACTCAGAATACACATGGGGAGACAAAGCCCAAGGTAGATAGTAATCAGAGCTATATTTGAAGTTCAGGCCCTGCTACCGAAGATGGGAAGGAGGGCAACTAATCCAGCAAGATCAGAGAAGCTTCCCTGAGAAGGTCACATGAGACACTGACCTTGAAAGACTAGAAGGAAGAGGGAATGTAAGGAAGAGAGTGCAAGCCAAGGAACATGTAGGGAGTGTTTGAGGAACAAAAACTAGCTATTTTGACTGAGGCACAGGGTGTAGGTTTGGGAGAACAAAGGGAAGCAAGGCAGGATTGATGTTTGGGAACAGATTATGGGGGAACTCCTCTATGTGGCTGAGGAGTCCAGACTCTATACAGTAGGCAAGAAAGCCTGCCAAGGTTTCTGAGCAGAGACAAAACATGATGAAGACCATTGTTTGAGGAAGATCACATGGGCACCCATGAAAATGATGCAAAAGGGGCCAGATTACTATGGGACCACATAGCATGAGACCACCTATACTTCTAAGCTTGGGCTGGAATCCACAGGTCCTATTCACAGAGCTTCTCTCTGCCAAGGTTCAGCTTCATGCAGTCTAAGTTAGAGAGGTGCTCTCTTGCCAGGCCTTCAAACCACTAAAGTCGGCTAGATACTAGAGTAACAGGTTTCCCAAAGTCAAGAACCCAATTAACTCTGGGATCACAAAAGGGAAGAGCTGAGATGGGAGAAACTGGGGAAGGGGACACCAAAGTCTCCAGCTGGTTCAGCTCCATATGAAAACCCAATCCCTTGGTCTCCTCTTTACATCACTTCCAGCCTCGTCCTTTTTAGAAAGGCTAAAGCAAAAGGTAGTAAGACTGAAAGCACCAGGCCGAGGGCTGAGGATCCAGTGCAACAATATACATCCATGGCCCAGTGCAGGGCTTGGCACATGAGCCATGTTCAACAAGCACTAGTTCCCTTCCCATCCTGCAAGGTCAGTTCCACCTATAAAGCCCAAGGAGGCTTCAGGACTTAGGTCACCTCAACTCTTCCCCAGGGACCTCTCTAAAGTACTCCTAACCAAAATGACCTAGTTCGAAGAAATCACAGCTGCCATGTCTTCAGCACCCATTCTGTGATGGGTGCCATACTAGGTGACACATGTAATCCTAGTTAACCTTTACAATGACCTTATTGTGTCCCTTTTATACAAGACAAACCAAAACTCTGAGAGGGGAAATGACTCAAGGACACACAATTAGGAAGTGGCAGAGGTGAGATCTGAACCCAAGACTACCTACCCCAAAGTCAAGCACTTCCAACATTTCATTCGTGTCAACTGAGCTGGGCTCTCATCTGCCACTGACCATCTGACAGGTAGCCTGGAAACTCCCTAAAAAGAGAATACACCAGGCATCATCTCTCCTCACTGTACAGCGAACCCACACATGTCAAGAGCTTTGGGATGAAAACAGTTAACTTTAACATAAGGCAGTGTACACAGATGTAAACTCCTCACGTGAAATCTATTCGTGATCTTGGACTCTTGAGCCTTGAGCCCAGCCATACGGTGTGTTAGGGACTGATTTCAAACTGGCCACCGACGGAGCTCCGACGTCGGACACCTGTCACGACCTAATCCTCACCCCAGGCACCAGCTGAGCCCCGTCCGGGGACACACGCCGCATCCTGAGCTCGCCACTGACAGAACCTCGCCAGGTCACAGACGGGGTTCCTGAGGAGAGCTCTAAAGAAGCGTCCCCTTCCATGGTCCCTCCGCCGCACGCTCGGATCGTGACCTCGGGCCACTCTGAAGGCCCTAACTGCCCTGTCCCGGGCACACCGACTCGTTCACAGACCCCCGCCCCATTTCGCTCGGAGGGATACCTCGCTGTGTCGCCTTTACCTCAGCCGCGGGACCGGTCGCGCGCACCCACTGGCAGTTCGCTCCGAGAACGCGGAAGAGGCGGTACTAGACCCGAGGGGCGGGCCCGACCAGAGAGGGGAGGAGCTGCGCATGCGCCCTAATGGCTACGCCCCGCCAAAGGGTGGGGGCGAGCTAAGTAAACTGGGAAGAAGTGCTAGAGAGGGGCGGGAAGATTGCTGGGGCGGGGGGTGGGACTTAGCTCCTCTTGAAGTTATTTTTTTTTTTCTAGTGAAGGTCGGGAGGTCGGGGAAGCGCCGGGATGGGGGCAGCCAAGCAGCGGCAGGTGTAATTACCATTTACCGAGAGCTTCCGAGAGCTTCCGTGTGCCAGGATGGAAGTTTTAAAGTGCCTTTTGCATATGGGAAAATAATGCCAGTCTTTTCTAAAACGAGGGCTAATTCTGTAAAATTTCCTCAGATGTTTGTGTAGCTGTCATTTCACCGTAAGAGTTTTCTTGGGCAAAGCGTTACCCCCAGTAGTTCAAAATCGAACACTTAAAAGTTCATTTCTTGGAGAAAAACAACTGCTTTTAAATTAGTATTTCAACCAGCCCCCCTCTGCTCCCCCAGGCTGCAAGTGTAATGAGGGAATGAGAGTGCTGACTTGGGTTTAATTCAGGTCCTGACTCTTGAGAGTGTTTCCTCCTTGGTGAAATGGAAGTAAAATATCCCTTCCCTGTCTGTCTCAGAATTGTTATGTGGGTTTGGTGAGCACTGCTGATAGAGCCCATTAGACTTCCATTCCACCATCCTGATAAAGCTTTGTTCCTTTCCTCTTCTGGGCTCAGTAGTCTCATCTGTGTGATGGAAGGGGGTCTGGAACCTGAGAGAACATTCAGGAATTTGCTACATTTCTCAGTCTGGGTGAAGGTTGGAGAGGGGGCCTTCTCCCAAGCTTCTGTACTGAGTCACTTAGAGAATCCCTCAGTCCAATCCAAAGGCCCCTGTATATCCTGACCTCTCCCACCCATCACCTTCTAGGCCCACTCAAGCTTCATGTCTTTCGGTGGCCATGCTGGCCTATTCTTCTCCGTTTCCTGAATATTGAAATAGCCAGCTGGTCCTGAGTCTCTCAGGCCTATATTTCAGTCCAGGTTCTTCAAACTGCTCTGTCTCTAAGTACATAGTTCAGTTAATACTAGATGCGGGCTCTGGAGGATTCAGAGAAGGAAGGGCTCCAGGAGGGCTCCCCCAAATCAGGTGGACCTCCACTGATTCAGTGGCTCCCTTCACCATGCACTACATACAGCTTCTGGGGGTGGGACAGTGGGAATGGCAGCAGGAAACCTCAAAGCAGCTACAGTGTTCATCAGTGCCAAGGATGGCGGGGTATCCTTTACTCAAAGGTAGATGCTCTACCCCAAAATGGGAAGAGTGCCTTGCTTCCACCTCATTCCCTGCTCTAAATACTTTTATGGATCTTGAACAAACAGGAAAACAAAGCCTTCTGCTGTGGCTGCCCAACCAAACTGGCCCTCTGTCCCCAACACACTGCCTCTCACAGGACCCTCTCCTGCTAAGTTGTGCCCTGTGGGGTAGGGGAAATGCCTGCTTTCCTCTGGCTTACTGAAGCCCAACTCTCTATTCGTGTATCCTCCTTTTTCTCCACCTCTGTCTAGTCTTCTCGGAGCATCTTGCTCTGAATTTCTCAAAGCAATTTTGTGATGTCTTCCTGATGTAGTCAGACATTCCCACCTTAAGTGCAGGACTTGGTCACACGGTTCTGAGATAAATTTACCTTCCCTGCCACAGTATATTCCAAAACAACTATGAGTGCAGAGCCTGAACTTTGAGCCTGAACTGTCCAGCCATTCAGGAGGTAATGGTGACCTGGCACAGGAGGTGTGCAAGCAGGGCCGCCTTTTAGGATGGTAGGCTGGGCCTCCTCTGGTAAGCCAGAATAAAGAAGGGCAGAGTGGAGGGCTTTCCAGATTCTAAAGCAGTGAAAGCACAGATACTGGGCACCAGGAAGGGAACCAGGCAGCTAGCCAAAGACAGACCTGATTTGGTAAGCTATGACACGTCAAGCATTTAGAGCTGTGCCCGATACATAATGAGTGTTAGCTATTACTCTTATGACTGTGAATGATCCACAGACTGTGAGTAATGAAGGAGCTCAGAGGTCAGTCAGTCCCTCACTTCCACACCTGGTCATGAAACAGACTGGGACTGGACTCTACTTCCCAGGAGAGCCACTGCACAAAGCCAGGCTATTTCCCTCATAGGGAGAGGAAAGGGCTCTAGGTGGCCCATTGCTGACTCTTGTCTGGGCAGCTGGTGGGTGAGGGACAGTGGAATCACAGCAAGACCTGTGCTAAGGGGCTCAGATGTCTCCTGAGGAATAAGCTCAGAAGTCAGCCCATGTCTTAACACCGTCACTTTAAGCTCTAACCAGCACCCAACAAATAGCCTTTTCTTGAGAAAGGCTTCCCTTGCTGTGATTAGGACTAGGACTATATTTCTGCTCTGTCCCTTGACCCATTTGCTCCAATAAACCACACAGACTAAGGACTCAGGGTGAGAACAGCCATGCCAGGGAACCTGAGCTGAAACAAGGAAAGACTCCCAAGAGACTGAATTCCACGAAGCAAGGGCAAGCCCTCCCTACTCCTAAACGAGGCCAGAAATTCTGGGTCCAGAATTCCCAGAGTCCTGGGAAAACCTTTGTATCTCCACCCTGGAGAGCTAGGCCAGACATGACCACACCAGCCAGCCCTCCCCATGGCCTGGGATCTCAGGACAAAAAACCCTCCCTTCTCAGAGTTGGGGAGTTGGGGGAAATTGGAAGGGGAGGTGAACCATGAGAGACTATGGACTCTGAAAAACAATCTGAGGGTTTTGAATGGGCGGGGGGTGGGAAGTTGGGGGAACCAGGTGGTGGGTATTAGAGAGGGCACGGATTGCATGGAGCACTGGGTGTGGTGCAAAAACAAGGAATACTGTTATGCTGAAAATAAAAAAAAAAAAATTTTAAAAACAAAAACCCTCCCTTCTCCATTCTGGCCCAGTTCCCTTCTCAGCCTGCCCAGGAGCCATGTGGCATCCAGACCACACAGCTTCCCACCAGGGCCACTTTAGTTTGCCTCTTTTATTTTACCAAAAATAACAATAATAAGCTCTTCCCTCTGTTTCACAAAAATAGATTTCCCGTCTCCCCACCCCCTCTGCAGTCAGCACTGGCCACAGCCTGGAACCCATCTTCCAATCCACAGTCCTCCCCAAGGGAATCTCTGATCCCTGGACCCCACCCTACCCCAGAGCCTCTGGTGAAGTTGCTGGGTCGGTGTTTGCCTCTGGAACTTCTCCAGAGGCAGCAGTGTGGGGTCAGCTGGCCGGCCTAGGAGCCCCATCTGCTTCCTCAGAGATCAGGCAGCTGCTGGGCCATGGAGAGGGGTTAATTTTGGAGGCTTGGCTCAGCATACAGCCCCAGCAGACCCAAGGGGCAGTGGGGCACTCTGACATCACTGGAAATCCTTGCTCAAAGCAGGAACAGTTGTGCTCTAGAGAGGGGCTGTCAAACTCTCTTTCCACATGCAGTTCATTTCCCTATGTAGCAATCTGCAAGCCCTGGGGTGGGAGTCAGGTCCCGGGGTTTCTACTCCAGCTCCACAAAAGCCTCGCAGGGAGGTCTTGGATAGTTTCTCTCTCCCTTCCTCCTGGTTTCAGCTTCCTCCTATGTAAAGAGATGATTCTGTGAGATTGGATGATTCCCAGACCCTTTCTGGCTCTCCATGCTGGCCTCCCAGTGTACTAGAGTCTGGTGGGTCTGGGCACAGGGCTAGGCACGGCGGTATGGAGTAATGGAGTATCAAATGAACATCCCATGTTCTCTGTGGAAAGCTGTCCAACCAGCTGGAATGTCTCAGGGATGGCTCAGGCAGGAGGCAGGTCCTTGCAGGATAGGGGGCTTTCCAAGCCTGGAGGAGTCCATTCGCTAGCAATACATCTTCCCTGTCCAAGGATGGGATACAAATCTCCAGGGTTTCCGAATTCAAGTTCCTCTAGCTCCTTGGGCTAGGGGATTATCTTGCACTGGGCTTCAGATCCTGAGACCCAAGTCTACAGATTCTGGGAGCTAGACTGGAGTGTATGGTTCCCAATTTAAGGACTAGAGGACCTATGTAGGCATAAGGGATCATCCCCAGCCCTCTGGAGGCTGTCTATAATCAGGCTTTCCTGGAGGTAAAGGGATGAGTAAAATGACAGTTCCTGGGCATCTCTGGCTAAGCAGATCAGAACCTGTGTCTGTGGTGGGCCAAGGGTTTAGGCACTCAGGGCAGAACTCCTTTCTTACATCCCCACGGCTCCCCAGAACTCATGCTTATGGAAGCTGGTAATATGAAGGTTCAAATAAAGAGCTACATCTCCAGTCATATTTTGTGCACTCACACACATGGTCAGACCACTGACCTGCCATCACTTGCACAGTGGTCACTGTCTGGTGGTCCTAACCCCTCCTTCCCTCCGTTCTTCTACTTACCTCACATTTATGGAAGGTCTAGTATGTGCCAGGGAGGGTCTAAGGCAGCTGGCTCTTACAGACACATCCCACAGTGAAAATCACACGCTCTCACACACTCACACAGAGTCATCTGCGCTTACTCACACACAGTGTGCCTACGCTCTTGTACCTTTCTCACTATTGCTCAGCCACACCCACATGCCCCACACCGGCACGGGAACCGCCAAGGAAGGGTCAAGTACTGGGGCAGAAACCCAGCCCATCCCACCCTTAGACTTCATCTGGAGGTGCAGCTCCTTCTGTCCTTTTCCTTCTGCCCCTCCTTCTCCATTCATAAGCAGTCAGGGAGCATACGGGCAGACTCCTGAGAACCACAAGTCCAGCGGCTTGGTGTGTGCAGAGGGGTCCCAGGGACTTCAGGTTCCTCTGCCACCGATTCCTGAGGGTCCTCTCCCCAGCTACTCTGTGTTCTGATGATCCACAGGACAGGCAACAACTCCAGGCTTGGGCTCAGTGACAGATCCGCTCTGTCATCTCCCTCTGCAGAGACAGAAGGTAGGTAGGGCTCAGTCAGAGTTCTGTCTACCAGGCAGCCCCTTCCCAAACCATGAGGCCTGGCTGTTCTGCCTGAATCCAGCCCCTTCCTGCCCTCCCCCACCCCAACCCCAGGATGCAGATCTGAGTCTATAAACAGAGACTAGAATGAATTCTCTATTAAAGTACAGAATCGGGGCACCTGGGTGGCTAAGTGGGTTAAAGCCTCTGCCTTTGGCTCAGGTCATGATCCCAGGGTCCTGGCATCAAGCCCCACATCGGGCTCTCTGCTCAGCAGGGAGCCTGCTTCCCCCTCTCTCTGTGCCTGCCTCTCTGCCTATTTGTGATCTCTCTCTCTGTCAAATAAATAAATAAAATCTTAAAAAAAAAAATAAAGTATGGGGCGCCTGGGTGGCTCAGTGGGTTAAAGCCTCTGCTTTCAGCTCCGGTCATGATCCCAGGGTCCTGGGATCAAGCCCCACATCGGGCTCTCTGCTCAGCAGGGAGCCTGCTTCCCCCTCTCTCTGTGCCTGCCTCCCTGCCTGCTTGTAATCTCTGTCTGTCAAATAAATAAATAAATCTTAAAAAAAAATAAAGTATAGAATCCATGGTTCCATGAATTGCCTTCCCCTAATTTATCCACGTGGGTATTGGGTTTTCTGAAAGTAGGTAGCCTTTGGATCTGAAAACTTGGTGGCTAGCCCTGGGAAGGAGGGGAAGGCAGCAGGGGCCTGGCCTCACCAGCGGCTCCAGCTCCCTCTGGTCCACCAGGCTGAACTCGCGGATGAAGTAGTAGAAGTGCTTGTAGCAGGTGTTGACATGTGCTTCGGCCCCCATGCTGAGGATGCTGTCGAAGTGGTGGATGTAGACATGGACAAAGACCCGGAAGAGGCGGGTCAGGATCTTGGTGCAGACCTGCTGGAAGTTCTTGGGGAAGGGAACTCCTAGGAGGTGGGAACAGGCAGAAGTGGGGGGATCACCATCTTAGGGATGAACCGCTGCCCAACCCTGCCCTTCCCACAACAGGCACCCTTCACCTAGGATTGCCAGTACCCTGCAGGGGACGGAGAGATCAGGGTCCCCTTTCTCCCTGCTTCCCCTCTAAAAGCATAGATCCCACTGTGCCTTTCCCCTTTGAACTAAGAATCATCTCCCAATTTTCCCATCACCCGGGGCCAGACCCTGCAATCATACGGGGATCACTGACCAATCTTTCTTCGACTACAGTGGAAGTTATGCCCAGATTCCCCACAGAAATATGTGTGTCCATAGGTGCTGCCCAGTGATATCCTGGATATAATTCCAAGGGGAGTTTATCAACGTCTCTGGTCCATATTTAAAAACACAGGTCTTTGGGACTAAGTTCTAACTTCACAGCATGGTGCCTGCTCAAAGCCTTTCATGATCTGACCCCAACCTCCTTCGCCAGCTCCACCCCAACTCCTTCCTCTTCATACCATTCACGCAGCAGTCCCCAAATTCCCCATCTTGAGAATTACAAAATCCTCAAGAATTAGTTCAGATACCTCTCATCGCTTTAACTATTCAATAACACAAAGAACCTTCCATCTTTGATATGGGCCCTGTGCTGGGTCCTCTGCATCTTTTGCCTCCTATGATATGGGTAAGGAAACCCTTCTAGGCATGATTGTGACCCCACTGGCCCAAGGCCATACTAGGAATTAGTACAGACTGGAGGCAGGATTACTTGCAGAGATAAACACCACAGCCCCTGCCCTGCCTGGGAGAAGCTCGAGCATCTGTGAAAAAGGCACCATTTCTGCACAGTCCCCTGCACTCAGGGTAGAGATCTTGGTGACTATGCCTTTTTCTCTGCTATGGCAGAGCCATCCGCAGGGTTAAGGCATGGACACCTGAGGTGTCCTAGGCCTGAGGGTTAAGGCTAGAAAGGAATAAGAGCCCAGACACGGGCCCACACTGGTTCACCCTGCTTCACACAGGGCCTCACAGCTCTCAGGTGGGGTGGAGCCCTGCTTCCTTGTGAGCCCTTGCAGGCCCAGTCCAGGATCCTCAGACTTGTCCTGACCACCTAGACGTGGGGGCCCGGACCCCAAGAGATCCGAGGTGCAGTTCTGAATCACCGATTCAGTGCACGGTCCCTCTGTTGGTCTCGGTTCCTCCTGTGTGAAAGGCGGATGCCCACTGTCAGGCCTGATAGTGCAGGAAATGGCAGGCCCCAGATGGGGAGGGGCTGTGAGCACTGAACTGTGACTCAGTGCCCAGCCTCCCTCCGTATTCACACTTTTCCCCTCTGGGCTTGCCCACCCTGCCCCACCCATCTCTGAGTCCTGTAGCCTTAACACAGAGGAACGGGGGCCAGGTGGGGGTGACGATGCTGTGATGGATACGGTGTCATGCCTGCTCAGCTCCTGGGCCAACACCTGCTCTTGCTGCCCTGGGATGGGGAAGCCAGGCTGGTGTAACATCACTCATCCACTCTCGCCACCCTCACCAGGCTGCCCAGCTGAGATAAGAAAAGTCCCCATGGGTTGGGCCTAACGAGGGAAAATTCTGCCCTCAGACTCCTCTGAGATAGAGATCTAATTGGGCCCTCCCAATCCCCACCCCCTTCTCTTTCCTGGAGGGAAGAGTCAGAACTAACAGTAGGTTGCAAGTCAGTCAGCCCAGGCAGGGTGATGGGCTAGGAGCACCTAGATGCACCTCTTCAAGAAGGTTCTAAGAATCACAGTGGTCTTGGCCAGGGTGGCTCTTGGAGGGACATTTAAGCTTCAGATAAGAAGAGTCCCAAGCTTTGAGTCAGGCAGTCCCAGCTCAAGATGCCCCATCTTGAGCAGACACTGAACCTCCCTGAGGATCAGCTGCCTCTTCTACAAAACGGGGATGAAAATCATAACTGCCCCTCAACCCCAACCCCTTAGAGAACTGCTATGGCAAACTAAATGCCTCATCTATAGAATGGGCTCTGGGGGCTCCCTCCCTCCCCAGCTGGGCCTGACTTGCCTGCCGGGGGTTACTCACCGACACGAGTGGGGAAGACGTCCTCGTCATTGATGAGGCCCTCAATCCAGTCCATGAGCAAGGCCATGTAGCGCGGCGCCGAGAGCTTGGCGGGCCGCCGGTACTGGCGCTCGTCCTGCCAGCGGTACTCATAGCGGGGCCCGCCGGCCATGACCGGGCAGCTGCTTTCGCTGCAGCGCTCGGCCATGGTGCCGTAGATGAGGTTGATGCGGTTGAAGAAGTCCACCACGTGCACAGCAATCCAGTCGTCGATGTTCTCCCCTGGTGGCAGCCTCACCACACTGCGCAGGTCCAGCCCCGACTTGAGTGATGCCTGCGCCTTCTTATATAGCTCGAAGCGCTGTGTGCCGGGCTCGAAGCGCTTCCGAGGCCGGAATGTCTTGTCCTTGGCGAACACCTGCTTCAGGCACAGTGCCATGGCTGGGCTGGGCGGCTGGCCAGGTGTCCAGGGGTGGGACCTGTGGATGGCCTGCCAGGGCCAAGGGCACAGAGGGAGCGTGGTGGTCAGGTCCTCACGGAGAAGCTTTGACTCCCTTACACATCATTTCCCTCATGCCCTCAGCTTTGGGCCTGTCTCTACAGCCTTTGCCTGGAGTCTAAACTCTCCCCATCCCCAGGGCCAGGGCTCCTGCCCTGTCTCCAGGCTACCCTTGCTCCCCCTGCCAAGTGGCCTCAGCTCTCCTGGCTCATGTTGTTTCCTCTCCCCTCTCGCTGCATCTCACAGAGGTCTGGGCCTGGGATCCAAACAGGTGCTCATCTGACTTCTTGTTGCCCACTGGAGAGGTGTGGGGAGGCTTCCTGCAGGCCACCAGGAGGTGGGAGCCTGGATGAAACGACCCCGGGGCTGCCCCATGGCAGCGTGGGAGAGCATGGCTGCATTGTGCTGGGGGTCGGGGTAGGGGCAAGGCCCCGCCTTCAGCTTCCTCTGGGATATCCCGTAGTCCATCCGGCCACCGGGGATTCCCAGGGAGCAGGAGGGACTTTTCTACCAAAAATGTACTTTCCTTTTATTACCCTGAAAGAGGAAAGGGCCCTCATAGGGCCAGCTGGGTGACCTTTGAGTGTGGCTACAGGCCCTGGAAGAGAGGGGGAGGTGGCAGGTCCAGATGGGGGCCACTTCTTCTGACAGTGGCTAGAGATCCTTCCCCATGAAGCCAGCCTCCTCCAGCCCCAAACCAAAATAAGCCAGTGGCCTCTCCCCCTGCTCTGGACAGTACATGTTCTGTGAGTACTGACGACGCACCTGACATGGGGAGGTAGGAGAATGCAGTCAGATCTACCCAGCTGGGCCTTTCTAGAATTCAGACAAATCTGTTTTGCCTCTCAGATGGAGGGATCCCAGACTCAGAACAGACTTCGGAACAGCAGTCAGAGCCTCAGGCTTGGAGGCAGGAGTCCTAGATTCTAGTCTCAGCTCTACCATGGCCGGGTGACGACCAGAGCAAGCACAAGTCTGACCCATACAATGTCCTGGGTCAGGCACGTAGAGGCCAGTTTTCTGGGACTCATGTGGTAGTCATCTCACCTCCCCTGTGGGTGTGTGAGCCCTTGGGAAAGGTGGACCCAGGTACCCGCTGAGGCCAGAATTTAGCCAGAGACAGAGGGCTGAGTTGTAGGATAAGGACTGAGTTGTGACTCCCCGCTGACCTCTGACCTGGCCCTGACCCTGGCCAATCTGAGTCCTGACTCTAGCCCTAAACTGAGGCTGATACAGCCACAAACAAAGCCTTGCCTTAACCTCAGACCTGACATAGGAGCACTTAACCTTCTCACATCTCTTATAATGCTGGGGCAGGATGGAGGGGAAGGAACGAGGCGACAGTTGGAAGGAGGTGTCATGTCAGACAACAAGTCAAGCTAGTGGAGAAGTTTGGAACAAGGAATCTTCCTTGTATCCATAACAGGCAGGCCAGGATGGGGATGGTCAAGTAAATGACAGGTGTTTGGAGAGCAGGGGCAGGTCTCCTGGCAGGATCTTGTCCTCTTGAAAAGATCCCTCAAATATGTGGAACATCATCTCTTCCATTCCTTGATCCTTGACTTCTACCCAGAGAAGTCCCCAGTGTGGATGCTGAGCTTCCTGACCCCAGAGGAGATTTCCACACTTCATATACCACCTGTATTCCAAACTCTGCTTGGGGCGGGTGCTTCCAAAACCACTCCTACTGTGGTTCTGTGGGGTTCCTGGTTCTCCTCCTTTGCACAGCCCCCTTTAGGGACAGTTACCAACAATCATCACCTCACCCTATCTTTCCTGCCCACTTCCCTCCTCCAAGAGCCCCCTCTCCACCAGCTCAGTGCTGTTGCTTGTTGCGTGATCCCTGAACCTATCCCCACCCTCCTGCCACTGTGTGTTTTGTCACACTGGTCTCTTTGTCTATATATGTCTATATACCTGACTATACATGGTCAGGTTGAATGTTATCTCCTCCCACAACCCCCTCTACCAAACCCAGATATCTTTCACCTGGGGGGCGGGGGAGGCTGCTCTTTGGCCACTGTTGTCCCTCTCCTCCACCCAGCCTCCAGCCTAGGTCAGGGCCTGGCATATAGTTGATGCTCAGGGTTTAAGTAAAGCTTAGAATCCAGAACTGCAGAGTTGCAAGAGCCCTGAGAAATCAACTAACTAACCCACTTCTTGCAGAGATGGGGAAACTGAGGCCCTCTTTCTGAGGAGCCACCATTCACAAAGCAAGTTACTGGCGGGGGATCTCCAACAGCACAACTGGGAACTGGGATAAGGTGGGGCTCAGCCCATCACAATGAGTAAAGGACCATTTTCTTGTGCTGGCTGGTCACTGGTCTGGTGGAGGTAAGGGGAAAAGAGGGAAGTGACTGGAAAGGGGAAGCATGTTCCCACCAATTAGACCAACCTAATTCCTGTTCTCTCACATGCTGAACCTCCCCCAACCCCCCACAGCACCCTGAGTGTCCTGACCAGTGAGCTAGACTCCCACCATCTGGCTACAAAATTTCAAGACCTGGGTCTTTTCCCTGGGTCTTTCCCCAAGCTTCAGGAAGGGGAGGGGGTAATCTCTACAAGCAACTTGCCACTTGTTTCTTCGCTTTCCACTCCCATGCCCTTATTTGGGTTTCCGTCCTTCAAAAAAACCTCTGTTCCCTCCCTAAACTAGGGCCCTTTCTGCCTCTTAGCCCCGCCCCTTTCCTAACTCTGGGTGTCCTTATACTCCTAAAGTGCCCAGGGATGGCTCACTCCCTGGGTGGGCATCTGGGTTTCCCAAATTAAGACCAGAGTAGCCCTACCTGTTTCTGACATTTAGCCCCCCCCCCCCCCGCCAGGGCCACACCTGCCGCTCCCCAGGCCTGGCCCAAGATCTTGGCAGAGGTCTGGCCCCAGTTTGAACCAAGAATGCAGCCTCTGCCTACGCGACGTGAGTGTGCGCGTGCGCCCCGAGGGCAGAGATCCAAGAGAAAAGTAGAGACGGGACTCTGTCCAGCGGCGCTCGGTCCCCCGCGTCCACCCCTAGGCCGCTCCCGGACCCCCTGACCCCCACTCGCCCAGCTGCCGGGACAGGCCGGTGGTAGGACCCAGAGGCGCAGACCTGACGTTTCCGCTCCCGAAGACACGCCCCCCTCCAACTCCACCACCCCCAACCCGGACTTTCGGAGCTCGGAGCCTCGGACCCCGGACGGAGCGCCGCGGCCAGCCTGCCTTGGGGCGGAGGTCGCCTCCGGACGGGGCCACGCCGGGACAGCCGCAGAAATGAAAGTGGCAGCGAAGCTGGGCCGTGCGCCGGCGGGGGCGCGGGCGCTCACTCACTGGGACCGCCTCGGTCCTCCTCTGGCCGCAGGGTCACATCCCCGGCGCGCCGGGTCGCCTTCTCCGGTCCTCCGGCTGGGCCTGTTCTCTCTCTTGTCCGCCCGTCCTCCTGCCCGCCCGGCCGGGCCGCGGTCGCCCTCCGCCCCCGCGGCGTCGCCGGCTCCGCCCCCGCCCTCCCGGGCCAGGCAGCGCCTCGGCCTCCTGGCGGGGAAGGGGCGGGGAAAGGGGACACCCCCGACCCCCTCCCAGTGCACAGACGCACTCCCGCCTTTCCGGAAAGTCCGAAGAGTGCTCCCAGCTTCCCTCTGGGCAAAGGACTGACTGAGCAGACGGCCCTGGCAGTATTTCCTCGGACTTTGCCACAGAGGCAGCCTCAGCTTCCTCGACTGTAAAATGGGAACAGATCCAGCCCGTGTGTGAAGCAGAAGCAAAGGGGCTGCTAAGTAATGGTGGTTTCCTTGTCCTCCTAGGATAATCTGTGGCCCATTTGTTCCTGAGCTCAATCAGGTATCAGGGCTGCCCTCTCCGCTCCCATACCCTCAGATCCTGGCCTAGTGCCTGGCACATAGCAGACCCTTAATGCCCATTTGCTGAGTACATGAAGGCTTTGGGAAACACAAGCTGAGCCCCTCACCCAGCACTGAAGGGACGGGCCCTGAAGAGTGCTCAGGTGACAGACTTTCACCTGACCAGGGCTGGGGTCTTCGCTCAGGCTGGGCAGATTCTCCTCACCAAAGTCACCCTATTTCCCCTGACGAAACCTTTGTTCTAGGTCTGCCCAGTTTGGAATATCTTATTTACCACCTTTCTTCTCAAATCCAAACCTTTAAGACGTGATCTGCTCTCTTTTCAGTTTATGTTCCTCCCCTGGGGGCAGACAGACATCCCAAACCGGTACTCAAGTCAGGGTAGCCGCTAGGCCCAGAGATCAGTTGGCTGATTCTGTCCTGGGATGGGAGGGAAGGTTAGAGGCCTTCTAGGGTGGGAGGACCAAGGCAGAGAGACAGGCTACAGAAGTCACTCCGGAGGGGTGCAGAAGGTGAGCAGGTGTGGGGTGGGGGTAGGGTAGACATTTACTATTGCACTGATGTCCCCACTGAGCTCTTCTTGTGTCTGGATCTTCTGTTTGCTTGATGGCATGAGAACAGAATAGAACTGAAGATTCATTCTTTTGTTAAGCACCTAGTTTTTTGCCCCAGTCTAAAGTCCAATTTTCTCTCTCTCTTTTTTTTTCCTGATGTCTGAGTCTTCACTCTGCCCCAAATCCCCTATAAGTGAATAATTACATGCTCTCGTGTATGCAGAAGGAATTCTAATCTAGTCCTTCATCTGTTTGCTATCCTAATCAATACCCTTTCTGTGCCCTGAAAGAGGAGCAGGTGATGAAGCTGACCCTGTTGCTGACCTCAGGTGCCGACAAGTCAGTGGTAGGGACAACACACACAGAGAGATAACACAAGGTCAGAGCTCAGTCATCACAAAACCGGCACAGAACCGTGTTCTCATCTCGGTGAGAGGACGGTTAGGGACTGCTGGCGAGCACTTTGTGTGTGTGGGGTTAGCCACAGGAAGCACATGGAATACTCAAATTGGGCCCTTTGGGGAGAGTTTAAAGAAAGCACTATTTAGAGGTGGAGTCGGGGTGCAGGGAAACCACAGGGTTGGCATATCACTGAAGGGCTAGCAAGAGCAGTCCTTAGCTATCTACCCCAGGCCGAAGCTGTCATCCCTAGTGAAGGGGTGCTGGGAGGGTGTGAAGGTGGGGGGTATGAGCAGGGGGCTACTGACTGGAGCTGCGGCCTGTTTCACCGGCATATCCAGCTCAGAGCAATCCTGGTGCAAAAGACGGGTGGTAAATCCGATGGAAGCCCTGGACCAGGGACTGTCTATGCAGCCCATAGAGGTGGGCATTCAGGGGCCTAAAGCTGGAGGGAGCTGGTGGGAGGAGGGTGTGGAGTATACAGAGTGTAGCTGGAGAGGCAATGGAGACAGTGGGCCCAGAGACAGTGACTTCACAAAGGAAACAGAAACTGCTTATGCTTTCCTTATCATTCAGTTCTAAGTATTTTGAAATTTCATTGTCATTTCCTCTTAAACTCATGGATGATTTGGAAGTATGGTTTTAGTTTCTCAGTCTATGGGAGGTTTATATTTTTCTTGTTGACTTCTAATTATATTGCATTGTGGTTGGAGATCACAGTCTATAAGATTCTTTGGAATGTGATGTGACTCCCTCTGTGGCTTTGTACATGGTTATTTGCTGTGCCTCCGAGCCGGGTTTTATAGGATGGGCAGGAGTTTGCCTGGTGAAGAGTGAAAAGCACAGACTCTTAGGTTGTGGGAAATAGAAATGATCCATTCTGAAGGCACTTCAGAAGTTCCCAGCTCATCCGCAGAGCTCCCTGGTGTCTGCCTTAATACAAGCTGACAGGCTGGCAGGTGGGATGGGAGGCAGATGGAAGAGTTGGGAGAAGCCAGAGATGACCCCAGATCCCTCAAACATCTGTACCCTCTTCCTCTGGCTCTCAGTCTGGGCTAGAGAGACTGTGTTCTTCCAGGAGGCTCTGCAGGCACTAAGACCCAGACCCTGGAGAACGAGGTCCTGGCTATACCACATATTAGCTGTGTGACCTTAGGTTACTCCTGCCCTCTCTGATGGCATGCTGGAACCCTACAGGACAGGCACTGGTCCCTGTCACTGTGTCCTGAGTGTAAGTGGCTCAAATAAGGCCCTGCCTCTGAAGAGTGGTGGGAGCCATCCAGGACCAAGGTGAGGACATTCTCTCTTCTACTGCACAGCCTGAGCCTGCGGCTCATCTAACTCCGGGTGGCAGCTGGGTTGTGGCTAGACCTAGGCACCTGCCCTGCTGTGTGTCTGGGAAAGTCTCTGCCCTTCTCTGTGTCTGGGAAAACCTACTTTCCCCATTTGTACCACAAAGTATCTTCCAGCCACACCATTCCAAATGCCTTTTCAGGACCAACTTCCTGCTCTTGCTCCCATAGGCCTGTACCCAGTAAGTCTGCCGATATGGAGTGACCTCTCCCTGGGGACTCCCCCACCCTCCTGTGCCAGGAAAGCCCCCCTCATTTGCACACTCCTCCCAGAATGAACTACTGTTTACACCCCCCTCCCTCACTCCACCAGGCATCTGGCAGCTTCTATAGCCTGATGGCACCCATCTTGCCTCACTCTCCCAAGAACAAGCTTCTATTTTGGCTTCTGCTCCTCCCCGCCCAGAAGGCAAGATCTCTCATCCTGAGTCTTTCATCCTGGCACAGTGAGGAAAAAGTGAGGGATATGTCAAGGTAGTAAGAGGAATTGAGCTGACTTCCTTTAGCTTGAGGAAGACAAGTTTCAAGGGAATGTGACAGGGGAAGACAAGGCTGAAAAGGATTTAGGTTAAAATTCTGTATGACTCTGGACAATATATTTCTTCTCTCCGAGTCTATTTATTTCTCCTTCTGTAAAATAGAAACAACAATAATGCACACTCCACAGAAGAGCTGTGAGGGTCGGAGATGATAGGCCTGGTAAACTGCAGAAAACTATCGCCAGTCTTTTGGGAGGGGGGTGCTGCCTTCAAGCATCCAGCAGGCTCATATACAGAAGAGGGACTGCACTAGTCCCTGTGGTCCTGGAAGGCAGGGGGCAGAGATCCAGGCAACGGGAGAACAACTGAGCTGTCCAACCACACAGCCTGCTTGTGCTCCAGTGTGCTCCTCCCTCCAGGCTCCCCACCCGCCCTTGGAGTAGGAGTCAAAGTGTGTGCAGAAAGGCCTTAGGGCAATGTCACCACTTTCTGCCCTGACCCTCAACAGGGCTCTAGTAGACACTGCCTCCTCCCCAAGTGCACACCCTCCAACCACTGGGGTTAATTCCCAGTTAGTTAGCGGAGGTGAAAGTAAAGTGGGGGGGGGTTGTTCACCAGTGTCCCAGGCTCAGCCTTCCATAGAGCCTACCCCACAGCCTGCGCAGGAAGTTCTCTCCATCCCTAGTTGTGGAGAGCAGATCAGTGGTTGCTAGAGTTAGGGTTGGGGAGGAAAGTGTGACTATAAAGACAGGGCAGGGGCTTTCTCTGGGTCACAAGTCTGTGTCCTGATTATGGGTCCATAAACCTATACATGTTGTAAAATTTCATAGAAATATATACAAAAAAAAAAAGAAAAAGAAAAAGGAGGGGATATAAAAACTGGTGAAATCCACATAAACTCTGTAGGTTTTTTTTTTTTTTTAAGATTTTATTTATTTTATTTGAGAGGGGGATGGGAGGTGCAGAGGGAGAGAATATCAAGCAAACTGCATGCTGAGCATGGAGCCAGACACAGGGCTGGAGCTCAGGATCCTAAGATCAAATCCTGAGGCAAAACCAAGAGTCGGCTGCTCAACCGACTACCCAGGCACCCCTAAAGTCTATAGTTTTAATAACATTATACTAATGTCGGTTTCCTGGTTGTGACTCTTAGTGTGATTATGTAAGATGTTGTCACTGGGGGAACCTGAGGGATGGGTACATGAGAACACCATCATTTTTGCAACTCCTATGTGGTCCAAAATTGTTAAAAAAAATTTTTTTTTTTTAAAGTGACCAAAATTCTTATCAATTGCAAGGTATGGATCTTCTCTGGATCCTGATATGAACAAATATATAAAACTATAAAACTATAAAAAATGTTATGAAACAGTTGAGGAAATTTGGATGACTGTACTTTTGATAATATTAAGGAATTGTTGTTACTTACTTTAGGATTTTTTTTAAGTACTTGTCTTTTAGAAATATAAACAGAAGTATGTATGGATGAAACAATACGATGTCCAGGATTTGGAGGGAAAGTGGGTGAGGGTATATATGAAACTAGATTATTATGTATTGAAAAATTTTTATGCTGAGTCACAGGGACTTGGGATTTATCACACTGTTGGCACTACTTCTGTATACATTTTAATACTTCAATAATAAGTTGATACTTATTAACAATAAGAAGTAAACTTGATAATAATATGTATTACTTAAATAATAAATATCTTAAATAATAAGTATTTACTTATTAACAATAATAAGAAAGTTGTTAACAGTAAGTTTAAAAGAGGAACCACA